TGGGGGATCCTTAGTCTGTTAAGGCCTTCAACTGATTGGGTGAGGCCCACCACGTTACAGAGCGTCACCTGCTTCATTCAGTACCTACTGATTTAAGTGTTAATTGGTCCAGGTGTGGTGGCTCGTGCCTGTGATCCCAGCACTTTGGGAGGCCGAGGCAGGCGGATTACCTGAGGTCAGGAGTTCGAGATCAGGCTGGCCAACACGGTGAAACCCCATCTCTACTGAAAGTATGAAAATTAGCAGGCCGGGCGCGGTGGCTCACGCCTGTAATCCCAGCACTTTGGGAGGCCGAGGCGGGTGGATCATGAGGTCAAGGGATCGAGACCATCCTGGTCAACATGGTGAAACCCCGTCTCTACTAAAAATACAAAAATTAGCTGGGCACGGTGGCGCGTGCCTGTAATCCCAGCTACTCGGGAGGCTGAGGCAGGAGAATTGCCTGAACCCAGGAGGCGGAGGTTGCGGTGAGCCGAGATCGCGCCATTGCACTCCAGCCTGGGTAACAGAGCAAGACTCCATCTTAAAAAAAAAAAAAGAAAAAAAAAAGAAAGAAAATTAGCTGGACATGATGGCACACGCCTGTAATCCCAGCTACTCAGGAGGCTGAGGCAGGAGAGTCGCTTGAACCCAGGTGGTGGAAGTTGCAGTGAACTGAGATTGCACCACTGCACTCCAGCGTGGGCGACAGAGCCAGACTCTCAAAAAAATAAAAATAAAATACTGGGCATGGTGTTTGGGAGGCTGAGGCAGGCCTCGGATCACCTGAGGTCACCATGGCTACCTTGCCCCATCCACTGTCAAGAAGGGGTCAGAGCGGCCATGTTATCCCGTCCACTGTCGGGAAGGGGTCAGGGCGGCCACGTTGTCCCGTCCACTGTCGGGAAGGGGTCAGGGCGGCCACGTTGTCCCGTCCACTGTCGGGAAGGGGTCAGGGCGGCCACGTTGTCCCGTCCACTGTCGGGAAGGGGTCAGGGCGGCCGTGTCGTCCCGTCCACTGTCGGGAAGGGGTCAGGGCAGCCGTGTCGTCCCATCCACTGTCGGGAATGGGTCAGGGCGGCTGTGTCGTCCCATCCACTGTCGGGAACGGGTCAGGGCGGCCGTGTCGTCCCGTCCACTGTCGGGAACGGGTCAGGGTGGCCATGTTGCCCCATCCACTGTCGGGAAGGGGTCAGGGCAGCCGTGTCGTCCCGTCCACTGTCGGGAACGGGTCAGGGCGGCCATGTTGTCCCATCCGCTGTTGAGGTCACAGCTGCAGCTCACAGAGGGTGTGAATCCCGGAGAGATGGGATCCCGATATTCCCAGTGGAATCTGCCTGTCCCCAGCATCCAGTAACATCCCTTAGGGGCTGACAGCTGCCCTGTTGTGCTTGGGGACCCATGTGACACGGGGCAGTTTCTCGTGGGGACCCTGGGTGAATCCCAAATCCCCTACTCCAGCGAGACTGCACAGGAGCAGGGATGAAGGTTGCGTTGTCACATGGCTGCCACCCGGGCGTGTTGAGGACTCGTGTTTTTAAATCCTCTTCCATTTCTAAGCCTCAGCGATGACTCGTGGTGGGAGATCGCTGGGTTTGGGGGTTGGCAAATGATTATAAACAGCCAGAGAGGTGGCCAGGTGCAGCCTCATGACTGGAGGCCGAGGCAGGAGGATCGCTGGAGGCTGGGAGTTCAAGGCCAGACTGGACAACATAGTGAGAACCGCATCTCTAAAAAAAAATTTTTGGGCCGAGCGCGGTGGCTCACGCCTGTAATCCCAGCACTTTGGGAAGCTGAGGCGGGTGGATCATGAGGTCAGGAGATCGAGACCATCCTGGTCAACATAGTGAAACCCCGTCTCTACTAAAAATACAAAAAATTAGCCGGGCACAGTGGCACGTGCCTGTAATCCCAGCTACTCGGGAGGCTGAGGCAGGAGAATTGCCTGAACCCAGGAGGCGGAGGTTGTGGTGAGCTGAGATCGCGCCACTGCACTCCAGCCTGGGTGACGAGCGAAACTCCGTCTCAAAAAAACAAAAAAAAAATTTTATAAGGTACCCAGGTGTGGTGGCATGCCTGTGGTCCCAGCTTCTCTGGAACCTAAGGCAGGAGGATCGCTTGAGCCTGGGAGGTCGAGGCCGCAGTGAGCTATGATCGCACTGCCGCACTCCAGCCTGGGTGACAGGACGAGATCTTGTCTCTGGAAAATGAAAATGATGACGGATCTATTCCAGAGGTCAGGAAACTACAGCCCGTGGGCCAGAGCCACGTCAGGTCCGTTCCCTGTTTTAATACAGCCGGAAGTCCAAGGACTTTTGCACGCTGTTGTTCTTACTGGACACTGGGTCTCCCTGTCACCCAGGCTGGAGTGCACTGGGGCAATCACAGATCCCTGCAGCCTCAGCCACCTGGGCTCAAGCATCCTCCCCACTCAGCCTCCCGAGTAGCTGGGATCACAGATACGCGCCCCACCATGCCCGGCTAATTTAATTTTGTTTTCTGTACACATGGGGTCTTGCTATGTTGCCCAGGCCAGTCTCAAATTCCTGCACTCAACAGACCGTCCTGCCTTGGCCTCCCAAAGAGAAGGCATTACAGGCATTAGCCACTGTGCCCATCCAGGATTTGTGTCCATAAATAGTGTCGTGGAAACTCAGTTGTGTCTAATTCTTTTTTTTTGAGATGGAGTCTCACTCTGTCACCCAGGCTGGAGTGCAATGGCTCGACCTCAGCTCACTGCAACCTCCGCCTCCTGGATTCAAGTGATTCTCCTACCTCAGACTCCCAAGTAGCTGGGACTACAGGCACGTGTCACCACGCGTGGCTAATTTTTATATTTTTGGTAGAGACGGGGTTTCACCATGCTAGCCATGCTGGTCTTGAACTCCTGACCTCAGGTGATCCATCTGCCTCGGCCTCCCAAAGTGCTGTGATTACAGGTGTGAGCCACCGCGCCCGGCCAGATTGTGTCTGATTCTTTACCTGTGGTCACCTGCATTAGCATGACAATGACACCTTTCAGGCCCACAGTCCCGACTGGCTTGTGAACATGAAAACATTTACCACCAGCGGGTGCGGCGGCTCACGCCTGTAATCCCAGCACTTTGGGAGGCCGAGGCAGGTGGGGCACTTGAGGCCTGGAGTTTGAGACCAGCCTGGCCAATATGGTGAAACCCCGTCTCGACTAAAAAACAAAAAATTAGCTGGGCGTGATGGTGCGCGCCTGTGGTCCCAGCTTCTTGGGAGACTGAGGCAGGAGAATCGCTTGAACCTGAGAGGCGGAGGTTGCGGCGAGCCAAGGTCGCGCCACCACATAACATACCTGTGGTCCCAGCACTTTGGGAAGCCTAGGCTGGAAAATGGCCTGAAGCTAGGAGTTCAAAGCCAGCCTGGGCAACACAGCAAGATCCCCTCTCTACAAAAAATAGAAAACTGAGCCTGGCGTGGCGATGCATACCTGTGGTCCCAGGTATGATACGCAGGCTGAGCGGGGAGGATCGACTCAGCCCGGAGATGTGAAGTCGTAGTGAGCCGAGATCGCACCACCGCACTCCAGCCTGGGCAACAGGGAGACACGCTCTCTCTGTTAAAAAAAAAAAAATCAGGCCAGGTGCAGTGGCTCACGCCTGTAATCCCAACACTTTGGGAGGCCGAGGCAAGCAGATCACCTGAGATCAGGAGTTCAAGACCAGCCTGGCCAACATGATGAAACCCCGGCTCTACCTCAAATACAAAAATTTGCCAGGTGCGGTGGTGCCCGCCTGCAGTCCCAGCTACTCAGGAGGCTGAGGCAGGAGGATCACTTGAACCCGGGAGGCGGAGACTGCAGTGAGCTGTGATCACACCACTGCACTCCAGCCTGGGCAACAGAGAAAGACCCTGTCTCAAACAAAAAACAACCCCCCGCCAAAAACACAGAATCCTGAAATACCACAGGGGGAAAAAAAAAAAAAAAAGGGGGGGGGAGCCGGGAAGGTGGGAGTCAGAGAGAGACTGGAGGAGGCTGCCTGTGGCTGTGAAGAGGGAGGAAGGGCCCCAAGCCTCTAGATGGAAAGTGGGGAAACGGATTCTCCCCTGGAGCCCCCATGAGGGCCCGTCCTGCCCACAGGTTGATGGGGAGCCCTGTAAGATGGATCTCAGACTTCTGACTTCCAGTACTGTGAGGTACTGAGTCAGTATTCCATTTCTTAATTTTTAGAGACAGGGTCTGGCTCTGTCTGTGTGTGGCTGCACAATCACAGCTCACTGCAGCCTCCACCTCCTGGGCTCAAGCGATCCTCCTGCCTCAGCCTCCTGACCTGCTAGGATTACAGGCATGAGCCGCCACACCTGGCTAGTTTTTGTTTATTTTTTTTTGTGGAGATGGGGTCTCACTGTGTTGCCCAGGCTGGCCTCTAACTCCTGGGCTCAAATGATCCCCACTTCAGCCTCCCTAAATGCTGGGATGACAGGTGAGAGCTACCACACCCAGCCAGTTATTCAGTGTTCCTCTAAGCCCACAAGTGTGGGGTCCTTTGTTATAGCAGCTGTGGGAACCTCAGACTTACTCTTTCTAGTAATGGACCCCGGTAACCCACGGGAGGCCTCACCCTCATGTAGCAGTCCACCCAGCAGTCAGATTTTATCTTTTTTTTTGAGACGAAGTCTCGCCCTGCTGCCCAGGCTGGAGTGCAGTGGCACAGTCTCAGCTCACTGCAGCCTTGACCTCCTGGGTTCAAGCGATTCCCCTGCCTTAGCCTCCCGAGTAGCTGGGATTACAGGTGCACACTAAAAGAATTAGCTTGGCTAATTTTGTATTTTTAGTAGAGATGGGGTTTCACCATGTTGCCCAGGCTGGTCTCGAACTCCTGACCTTGTGACCCACCCGCCTCAGCCTCCCAAAATGCTGGGGTCACAGGCGTGAGCCACCGTGCCCGGGCAGCCTGGCCATTTTTAAGGGCATAGTTGCAGCCCTTGCTTACGGGAAGAGAAGCACCTTCAGCCTCTGACCCCGTGTTTCTGTCTTCTTGGGTGGCATCCAGATTGCTGTCTACATGTGTCTGAGCCATGGAGTCCGCCGTGGCTGACGTACACCTCATGCCCAGGGCAACCAAGGAGGTCCCCGCTCCGGGCGCCGCGTGCTGTCGAGCGGCCACCATTGGTGTGGTGGCCACCAGCCTTGTCGTCCTCACCCTGGGAGTCGTTTTGGGTAAGTAGCTACGGGATTGGCTGGGTTTGCAAAACCGGGGCACCTGCGCGAAGACACCGGGAAGCAACTCGATGGTGCCTCCGTGTTCATGAGTCGGAGGGCGGTGTCTGGGCGTGTGTCTGCTCCAGGTCAGGCGTGTGGACGGGGTGGGGGGCGGGCGGAGCGGGTGAGTTCCTGCCCGCGTCTCTTTTCCCAACCCAAGAAGTTCCCGAAGGAAGTTTTCACAGCTGGGGTGACAGAAAAACAGAGACAGGGAAATGACCTTGGTTTACATTTTGGCAAATCAGAAAAGTACCCAAAAGTATTTTTTTTAAAAAAAACTGAGCAATTGCCAGGCGCGGTGGCTCCTGCCTGTGATCCCAGCACTTTGGGAGGCTGAAGCGGGGGGATCACCTGAGGCCGGGAGTTTGAGACCGGCCCAGCCAACATTGGAGAAACCCCGTCTCTACTAAAAATACAAAATTAGGGCTGGGCACAGTGGCTCACGCCTGAGGTCAGAAGTTCGAGAACAGCCTGGCCAAGATGGTAAAACCCTGTCTGTACTAAAAAGAAAAACAAAAACAAAAATGAAAAATAGCTGGGCGTGGTGGCACACGCTTGTTATCCCGGCTACTCAGGAGGCTGAGGCAGGAGAATTGCTTGAACCCGGAGGCGGAGGTTGCAGTGAGCAGAGATTGCGCCATTGCACTCCAGCCTGGGCGACAGAGTGAGGCTCGTCTCAAAAAAAAAATGTTAATGTTAACATTTAAATGACGATAATTAACAGCAATTTGGGGGGGATGCTCTTGGGCCACATAATGGTAAACTGGTGATCCCATGAGAATCCTCCTGATTTTTTTTTTTTTTTTTTTGAGACAGAGTCTTGCTCTGTCACCCAGGCTGGAGTGCAATGGCGCGATCTCAGCTCACTGCAACCTCCACCTCCTGGGTTCAGGCAATTCTCCTGCCTCAGCCTCCCGAATAGCTGGGATTACAGGCACGCACCACCAGGCCCAGCTAATTTTTGTATTTTTAGTAGAGACGGGTTTCACCATGTTGACCAGGCTTGTCCTGAGCTTCTGACCTTGTGATTCTCCTGCCTCCGCCTCCCAAAGTGCTGCCATTACAGGCGTGAGCCACCGATACTGGCTTTTTTTTTTTTTTAAATATTTGTGAAACTTCTGGAAACTCCCAGAGGCAGACACGTTTGACTGAGGTCCTCTAGTGGCCGTGGGTACTAAGTGCAGTACAATCTGGGTTCCTTGTGTGTTTGTGTATGGTGCACACGTTCATTTGTGTGTGTGTGCGTGTGTCTGCATGTGCATCTGTGTCTGTGTGTGTCTGCGCGCGTGTGCGTGTCTGCATGTGCGTCTGTGCGTGTGCATGTCTGCATCTGTGCCTGCGTGTGCGTCTGCATGTGCGTCTGTGCATGCGTGTGCGTGTCTGCACATGCGTCTGTGCGTGTGTGTGCGTGTCTGCACGTGCGTCTGTGCATGCGTGTGCGTGTCTGCACATGCGTCTGTGCGTGCGTGTGCGTGTCTGCACGTGCATCTGTGCGTGCGTGTGCGTGTCTGCACGTGCGTCTGTGCATGCGTGTGCATGTCTGCACGTGCGTCTGTGCATGCGTGTGCATGTCTGCACGTGCATCTTTGCGTGTGTGTGCGTGTCTGCATGTGCGTCTGTGCATGCGTGTGCATGTCTGCACGTGCATCTCTGCGTGCGTGTGCGTGTCTGCATGTGCGTCTGTGCATGCGTGTGCGTGTCTGCACGTGCACCTGTGCGTGCGTGTGCGTGTCTGCATGTGCGTCTGTGCATGCGTGTGCGTGTCTGCATGTGCATCTGTGCGTGTGTGTGCGTGTCTGCATGTGCGTCTGTGCATGCGTGTGCGTGTGTTCATTCTCACATTAGTGAGAGGCAGAGGTCTCATCTGTAATCTAACAGATTCATTTTGGGAACAAGAGATAAATATAATTCCCACCAGGACCCCCCGAAACCACAGAAAGTCTTTCAAGAAGCCCTTAAGACTGGGCCTGGTGGCTCACGCCTGTAATCCCAGCACTCTGGAGGGCTCAGGCAGGAGGCTTGCTTGAGCCCAGGAGTTCAAGACCAGCCTAGGCAACATAGTGAGACCCTGTCTCTACAAAAAATCAAATAATAAAAACAAGAAGCACTTAAAAAAATTGTAAATGTCTTAAATGAAAATGAGCGGTTGTGCGTGCCTCTAGTCCCTGCTACTCGGGAGACTGACGTGGAAGGATCACTTGAGCCCAGGAGTTTGAGCCTGAGGGAGCCATGATCGCACCACCGCACTCCAGGCTGGGAGACAGAGTGACGCTCTAATTAAAAAAAAAAAAAAAAGACGCCAGGCATGGTGGCTCCCACCTGTAATTCCAGCACTTTGGGAGACTGAGGCAGGCGGATCACAAGGTCAGGAGTTCGAGACCAGCCTGGCCAATATGGTGAAACCCTGTCTCTACAAAAAATCAGCCATAGCTGGGCGTGGTGGCTCATGCCTGTAATCCCAGCACTTTGGGAGGCCAAGGTAGGTGGATCATGAGGACAGGAGTTCAAGACCAGCCTGACCAACATGGTAAAAACCCATCTGTACCAAAAAAAAAAAAAAAATTCAGAAATTAGCTGGGCATGTTGGTGCCCACCTGCAATACCAGCTACTTGGGAGGCTGAGGCTGGAGAATTGCTTGAACCTGGGAAGTGGAGGTTGCAGTGAGCCAACCTCACACCACTGTACCAGCCTGGGCGACAAAGTGAGACCCTGTTTCAAAAAAAAAAAAAAAAGAAGGCCAGGCGCGGTGGCTCATAGCTATAATCCCAGCACTTCGGGAGTCTGAGGTGGGCGGATCAGGAGGTCAGGAGATCGAGACCACACTGGCCGACAGGGTGAAACCCCATCTCTACTAAAATATAAAAAAAATTAGCCAAGTGTGGTGGCGCACACCTGTAATCCCAGCTACTCGGGAGGCTGAGGCAGGAGAACCTCTTGAACATGGGAGGTAGAGGGTGTAGTGAGCCAAGATTGTGCCACTGCACTCCAGCCTGGGTGACAGACTGAGACTCTCTCAAAACAAGAAAAGAAAAAAGATCACGCCTGTAATCCCAGCACTTTGGGAGGCCGAGGAGGGTGGATCACGAGGTCAAGAGATCGAGACCATCCTGGTCAACATGGTGAAACCCCATCTCTACTAAAAATACAAAAATTAGCTGGGCATGGTGGCGTGTGCCTGTAATCCCAGCTACTCGGGAGGCTGAGGCAGGAGAATTGCCTGAACCCAGGAGGCGGAGGTTGCGGTGAGCCGAGATCGCGCCATTGCACCCCAGCCTGGGCAACAAGCGTGAAACTCTGTCTCAAAAAAAAAAAAAAAAGAAAAGAAAAGAAAAATACCTAATGTCGATGGTATTTTTGTATATGTCCAGGGGGATGGGTGCAGCAAACCACCGTGGCACGTGTTCCCTATGTGACAAACCTGCACGTTCTGCACATGTACCCCAGAACTTAAAGTGTAATCGATAAAAAATAATAGTAATAACAAAAATTTTTAAAAAGAGGAAAAAAAGAAAAGCAGCCATGTGTGATGGTGGGTGCCTGTGGTCCCAGCTACTTGGGACGCGAAGGAAGGGGGGTCACCTGAGCCCAGGAGGTCGAGGCTGCAGCGAGCCGTGGCCGCGCCACTGCTTTGAAGCCCAAACAGTAGAGAGTCTGTCTCAACAAAAATTAAAAATAAATAAAAACGAGAACTCAGCCCTTCCTGAACAGCTCACCATTTTAGCTGGTGATGGCGGGAGAGGCTGGGTGGAGGGCGGGAGACGTTCTCAGCTATTTCTGCAGCTTCCTGAATCTGCAGTTGTTTCGGGGTCGAAAGTGACGGAGTGAGGTTGGGACTGAGGCGGGCAAGCCAGGCCACCACCAGGGTGCTCGTTTTTCTTTATCTGTAGCTTCTTGAACGAGAAAAACATACTGTTTTTAGAATTGGTTTAGAATATTCTGTCTGCTGAATGGATGACTACGTCAATAGCCACCCAGCAGCTCTATCCATTTAGAATCAACGGACTTGGGGACCAGCTTTTTCGGGTTTACGCGGCTGCTATTTTTGTCCTTTAAATGTTGTAATGACGGCCGTTTTTTTGCTGGTGTGCACTTCTGGGAGTTTTAACGTATTTTTGACCAAAGCTCGTGCTTCCACCGTTTCTGTGGTTGATCTTGTCGTTTTTATCTAGAATATTTTCTGCTGCTGCTTGAATCAGCATAGGAATTTTTTATGACTATTATTTTTGCTTTACTTTGTATTTTGGGCACAACGTACCCAACAGCTAAGAAACAAGGCTTTCCGCTTGGGACCGTGGCTCACACCTGCAATCCCAGCACTGTGGGAGGCCGAGGTGGGCGGATCACTTGAGGTCAGGAGTTCGAGACCAGCCAGGTCAACATGGTGAAACTCCATCTCTACTAAAAATACAAAAAAAAAAAACTAGCCAGGTGTGGTGGTGCGTGCCTGTAATCCCAGCTACTCAGGAGGCTGGGGAAGGAGGATCGCTTGAACCTGGGAGGTGGAGGTTGCAGTGAGCCGAGATCGCTCCGCGGCACTCCAGCCTGGGCGACAGAGCGAGACCCCGTCAAAACCAAGCAATCAACCGGTGCCTTTTGAAGATGTCCTCATGGGACTGTGGCTGGAGAGCCCTGCTGGCCTCTGGCTGTGCTTTCGTCCCTGCAGTAGGAGGTGGGGACAGTCATTTCACTGTCCCCCAACATCATTCCAGCTGTTACTTCCTGATGTCAGCTCAGGTCCTGGGCCAGACACTGCATGGGAGACAGGCATGAGCGGGACCTCTTCCTGCCTCGGAGGGAAGCCCAGGGGCGTCTGGGGCTCACTGGGCGCCTCACATCCGCTTTGTGCTATTGTCTGGGGACCTCTGAGTGGGTGGCCATAGAATTCAGCTCCAAACCAGGAGGCTTTTGGGAATGGAGGGAGAGCCACAGGGGTATCGGCTACTGCATTCAGGAGTGCCCACCGGGCTGTGTGGGGGCAGGCAGGGTGGGGCCCCGAGCCCCCAAAGCCGGGCTCTCTCATGGGCCCTGGTCTCGTCCCCAGCCTTCCTCTCTACGCAGGGCGTCCACGTGGACCACACGGCCGAACTGCGGGGCATCCGATGGGACAGCAGCTTGCGGCAGGAGGCCTCGGGCTATCACCGCACGCTGACGCCCACCCTGGAAGCACTGGTGAGGGTGGTCTGCGTGTGGGGGCCAGGGAGGAAAAGCGAGTAACCAGGGGCTCTGATCTAGAGCTGCTTCCCATGGGGAAGGGAGGCCGGACGGAGGCAGGGAGGCTGGGGTGGAGGCTGTGAGGTTGGGAAGCCGGGTCATGGGACGGGGAGGATGAGGCCAGGTGGCCGAGGCTGGTGCCTGCAGGGCAGAGCAGTATCCACTGAGGACTGAGTCGTGCGGGACTTCAGGCAACATTTACAGGTTTAAGATTGATTCTGGATGTGAATCAGAGCCCTCACGCACAGCCGGCGGAATGTATTTTATTTGTTTTGAGACAGAGTCTTACTCTCACCCAGGCTGGAGTGCAATGGCGCGATCTCGGCTCACTGCAACACCTCCCGGGTTCAAGCGATTCTCCTGCCTCAGCCTCCCGAGTAGCTGGGATTACAGGTACCTGCCACCATGCCCAGCTAATTTTTGTATTTTTAGTAGAGACGGGGTTTCACCATGTTGGCCAGGCTGGTTCCGAACTCCTGACCTCAAGTGATCCACCCTCCTTGGCATCCCAAAGTGCTGGGATTACAGGCGTGAGCCACCGTGCCCGGCCTGGGGGAATGTAAACGTAGGCATTCCGGGGAAGCCGGAGAAGATAAAATGGAATACAGCGGTGCAGGCCGGGTGTGGGGGCTCACGCCTGTAAGCCCAGCACTGTGGGAGCCCAAGGCGGGTGGATCACCTGAGGTTGGGAGTTCGAGACTAGCCTGACCAACATGGAGACGCTCCATCTCTACTAAAGATATAAAATTAGCTGGGCATGATGACATGTGCCTGTAATCCCAGCCACTCAGGAGGCTGGGGTGGGACGACTGCTTGAGCCCCGGAGGTGGAAGGTGCAGTGAGCTGAGATCGCGCCGTTGCACTCCAGCCTGGGTGACAGAGCAAGACACTATCTCAAAAAATAATCATAATTTAAAAATATACACCGGGCGTGGTGGCTCACGCCTGTAATCCCAGGACTTTGGGAGGCCAGCGTGGGTGGAACATGAGGTCAGGAGTTTGAGACCAGCCTGGTCAACATAGTGAAACCACGTCTCTACTAAAAATCCAAAAAATTAGCCGGGTGTGGTGGTGAGCGCCTGTAATCGCGGCTACTCAGGAGGCTGAGGCAGGAGAGTCACTTGAACCCGGGAGGCAGAGGTCGCGGTGAGCTGAGATGATGCCACTGCTCTTGAGCCCAGATGACACAGCAAGACTGTCTCAAAAATAATAACAATAAAAAATTTAAAAATAAAAAATAAGGCCAGGCATGGTGGCTCACACCTGTAATCCCAGCATTGTGGGAGGCCGAGGTGGGCATATCACAAGGTCAGGAGTTCGAGACCAGCCTGGCCAATATGGTGAACTCCTGTCTCTACTGAAAAATACAAAAAGTAGCTGGGCCTGGTGGCGGGTGCCTGTAATCCCAGCTACTCGGGAGGCTGAGGCAGGAGAATTGCCTGAGCCCAGGAGGCGGAGGTTGCGGTGAGCCGAGATCGCGCCATTGCACTCCAGCCTGGGCGACAGAGGGAGACTGTTTCAGTAGAAAAATAAAATAAAAAAATAATAAAAATAAAACATAAATAAAAGGAAATGCTTTCCCATGGAACCAACCCCCTCTCTAGCTCCCTCTAACACCTACCAGGCCTCTGCAATGGCGCGGTGCCCGTGCTGTGGGTCTCAACATTGACTGGTCTTGTTTCTGTTGCAGTTTGTAAGTAGTTTTCAGAAGACAGAGTTAGAGGCAAACTGTGTGGGCTGCACGGTGCTGAATTACAGGTGAGTTGGAGCTTCCGTTGGGTGAAGGAGACTTGGTGGACATCTGGGAGTTTCTGGAGGATTCCAGAAAAGTCCGGAAGATTCGAGAAGATGCCAGAAGATTCCAACAGGGAGGATCTCCTCCTTCTCCAAGGGCCTCTTCTCCATACCTGTAGGGATGGGAACTCCAGCGTCCTGGTGCATTTCCAGCTGCACTTTCTGCTGCGACCCCTCCAGACGCTGAGCCTGGGCCTGGAGGAGGAGCTACTGCAGGAAGGGATCCGGGAAAGGCTGCGGGGGCGCGGCATCTCCCTGGCTGCCTACGGCACCATTGTGTCGGCTGAGCTCACAGGTGAGTGGGCAGTTGAGACTGAATCCACATCACAAGGAGGCTGGAGGCGGGCAGCCGCTGCAAGATACATTTGGATAATCGCCCCTTCCCATAAAAAGAAAATGAAAATGGTCAGCACGGCAGCTCACGACGGTGATCCCAGCACTTTGGGAGGCTGAGGTGGGTGGATCACCCGAGGTCAGGAGTTTGAGACCAGCCAGGTCAACATGGTAAAACCCCGTCTGTACTGAAAATACAAAAAATGAGCCGTGAGTGGTGGCAGGCACCTGTCATCCCCGCTACTCGGGAGGCTGAGGCAGGAGAATCGCTTGAATCCGGGAGGCGGAGGTTGCAGTGAGGTGAGATCACACCACTGCACTCCGGCCTGGGCGACAGAATCACACTCCATCTCAAAATAGTAACAATTTAAAAATAAAAAATAAATTGTCGGGTGCGGCAGGTCAGATGGGAGCGCAGAGGGTTGTTAAAGATTTGTTGCTGGGAGCGCTGGCCCACACGTGTAATGCCAGCACTTCCGGAGGCCACGGCGGGTGGATCATGAGGTCAGGAGTTCAAGACAATCTTGGCCAAGATGGTAAAACCCCGTCTCTACTAAAAATACAAAAATTAGCCAGGAGCAGTGGCAAACACATGTAATCCCAGCTACTTGGGAAGCTGAGGCAGGAGAATCTCTTGAACTGGGGAGGTGGAGGTTGCAGTGAGGTGAGATTGCGCCACTGCACTCCAGCCTGGGCGACAGAGTGATTCCATCTCAAAAAAAAAAAAAAAAGAAAGAAACAAAATTTAGGCCGGTCATGGTGGCTCACGCTTGTAATCCCAGTACTTTGGGAGGCCAAGGCAGGTGGATCACCTGAGGCCGGGAGTTCAAGACCAGCCTGGCCAAGACAGTGAAACCCCGTCTCTATTAAAAAGAAAAAAAAGAAAAGGAATTTGTCAGCTTGATCTTGATGAGCAGGACATGCTGGTCCAGGTCTTAATAACCTCTGCTCCAGCGTTGACGGAATTTTCCCAGGTGAGGGAGAGCCTCCAGGCCTGTGGGGTGTGGTGGCCGCCTGAGCCCTGTGGCTAGTGAGTGCTCTCCGTGCGGTGAGTGAGACTTCACAGTGGTGTTGACTGCGTTTCATCTTCACTGACGAATGTACGTGACGCCCCAGGGTGGACAGGACAGCTGGTCCCTTCATTACACCACCTGTCTGCAGTAAGCCGTGTTCTTTCTTTCTATTTTTTAAAAGATGGGGTTTCAACGTGATGGCCAGGCTGGTCTTGAACTCCTGACCTCAGGTGATCCACCCACCTCGGCCTCCCAAAGTGCTAGGATTACAGGCGTGCGCCACCGTGCCCGGCTCCCCCGCCCCCTTTTTTTTATTTTGAGAGAGAGTCGCTCTTGTTGCCCAGGCTGGAGTTCAGTGGCGCGATCTCGGCTCACAGCAACCTCTTCCTCCCGGGTTCAGCGGGATTCTCCTGCCTCAGCGTCCCAAAGTGCTGGGATTACAGGCGTGCGCCACCGTGCCCGGCCAACAGGATGTTTCCAAAGAGTTTCACTGCTTACTTGATGAGCTTCTATTTTGCCGTTTTGTTGCAGGAAGACATAAGGGACCCTTGGCAGAAAGAGACTTAAAATCAGGTATGTTTTGCTCCGACTGCAGTTACTGACACAGGCTTCCTAAAGCAGCTCCTTTCAACTACGTGAAAGAATTCCCGGAACAAGGCCGGGCGCGGTGGCTCGCGCCTGTAATCCCAGCACTTTGGGAGGCCGAGATGGGCGGATCACCTGAGTTCAGGAGTTTGAGACCAGCCTGGCCAACATGGTGAAACCCCATCTCTGCTAAAAATTAAAAAATTAGCCAAGCGTAGTGGCGCATGCTTGTACTCTTGAACCCGGGAAGCAGAGGTTGTGGTGAGCTGAGATCGTGCCGTTGCACTCCAGCGCGGGTGACAGAGCAAGACTACATCTCAAAAACATCGAAATAAGTAAAACAAAATACAGTAGGCCAGGCACGGTGGCTCACACCTGTTATCCCAGCACTTTGGGAGGGCTATGTGGGTAGATCACGAGGTCAGGAGTTTGAGACCATCCTGGTCAACATGGTGAAACCCCGTCTCTACTAAAAATACAAAAAATTAGCTGGGCACAGTGGCACGTGCCTGTAATCCCAGCTACTCAGGAGGCTGAGGCAGGAGAATTGCCTGAACCCAGGAGGCAGAGGTTGCGGTGAGCCGAGATGGCGCCATTGCACTCCAGCCTGGGTAACAAGAGCGAAATTCCGTCTCAAAAAAAAAAAGAAAAGGAAAAAAGGAGAGAATTTCTACGTTTCCATACACCGGGGAAACTCTGCTCCATGTAGAATGGTGCGTTACTGCAACCAGGACATGCAGCGTGAGGTCAGAAACTCCGTTCTTTTCTGTCCTCAGGCCGCTGTCCAGGGAACTCCTTTTCCTGCCAGAATGGCCAGTGTGTGACCAAGGTGAACCCGGAGTGCGACGACCAGCAGGACTGCTCCGATGGGTCCGACGAGGCGCTGTGCGGTCAGTCTGCCCGTCTGGCCTGGCCTCCAGGCCCCACCCCTCTTCCGGGGTCAGCTGTGGGCTCTGCTCTCTGTCACCGTGTTTATCCCCCTTGAGCACACGGGCCTGGCGTTTATGGGGGCTGGGCAGAGAAAAGAAAGGGGATTCCATGGTGTGGGGAGAACACGAGGAAGCAGAGGAAAAGCTTGGGTGTGTGACAGGGAGAGCCCTTGGGAGAACAGGGAGGAGATACCAGGCTGAAAACAGAAGCTTGGCCAAAGCCTGGGAAGCCTGCGATGCCAGGAGCTGGAGCTCTGTCCTGTCCATCCAGGGCTGTGGCCACAGGGATTTCAGCAATGGGAAGAGACAGTTAAACTGCTGGAAGAGATGAGCTGCGCGCGGTGGCTCACACCTGTGATCCCAGCACTTGGGAGGCCGAGGCGGGTGGATCACGAGGTCAAGAGATCGAGACCATCCTGGTCAACACGGCGAAACCCCATCTCTATTTTTAATTAAAAAAATATATATATCCTAGCACTTTGGGAGGCCAAGGCAGGAGGATCAATTGAGGCCAGGAGTTTTTTTTTGTTTGTTTGTTTTTAAGACAGAGTTTCGCTCTTGTTACCCAGGCTGGAGTGCAATGGCGCGATCTCGGCTCACCGCAACCTCGGCCTCCTGGGTTCAGGCAATTCTCCTGCCTCAGCCTCCCGAGTAGCTGGGATTACAGGCACGCACCACCATGCCCAGCTAATTTTTTGTATTTTTAGTAGAGACGGGGTTTCACCATGTTGACCAGGATGGTCTCGATCTCTTGACCTCGTGATCCACCCGCCTCGGCCTCCCAAAGTGCTGGGATTACAGGCGTGAGCCACCGCGCCCGGCCCAGAGGGAGTCTTTCTATGATGCCCAAGCTGGTCTCGAACTCCTGACCTCAAGCGATTCTCCCACCTTGGCCTCCCAAAGTGCTGGGATTACAGGCGTGAGCCACCGTGCCCGGCCCTAACATCAATATTAAAAGAGGAGAGAAGCTGAAAGAATAACATGAATGAATGAAGAGATTGACTAAAAAGCTATTTAAAGTAAAGGCCGGGCGTGGTGGCTCATGCCTGTAACCCCAGCACTTTGGGAGGCCGAGGTGGGCAGATCATCTGAGGTCAGAAGTTTGAGACCAGTCTGGCCAGGCTGGAAAAACTCCGTCTCTAAAAATACAAAAATTAGCCAGCCATGGTGGCATGTGCCTATAAGCCCAGCCACTCGGGAGGCTGAGGTGGGAGAATCACTTAAACCTGGAAGGCAGAGGTTACAGTGAGCTGAGATCGCGCCACTGCACTCCAGCCTGGGGGACAGAGCAAAAAAAGAAAATTTAAAACAGCTGTCATTGCCGGGTGCAGTGACTCACGCCTATATTCCCAGCATATTGGGAGGCCGAGGCAGGCGCATCACCTGAGGTCGGGAGTTCAACACCAGCCTGGCCAACATGGTGAAACCCTGTCTCTCTTACAAATACAAAAAAAATTAGCCGGGCGTGGTGGTACGTGCCTGTAGTCCCAGATACGTGGGATGCTGGGATAGGAGAATCGCTTGAACCCAGGAGGTGGAGGTTGCAGTGAGCCGAGGTGACACCAGTGCTCTCCAGCCTGGGTGACACAGTGAGGCCCTGTCTCAAAAAAAAGAAAAAGAAAAAGCTGTCATTTTGCTTTATACAGTAATAAAGGGTTAGAAGACAGAAAGGAAAAAATCCCTTTCGTGATCAATAGCTAAAAAACATGAAATATCAAAGACTAAACTTAAAAACCGGTGTCATCCCGTAATTATTATAGAATTATAAAACTGCTGGAGGACATGGACGTAGACTAAGCAGAGACACAATATCCCACACAAACCTGCACGTGTGGTCGTCGCCCCTCACCCACAGCTCTGTCCTGGATAGAGAGACCTTTCTCTGCCACTCACTGGTACACGTGAGCTTGGATGCTTGACCTACATGCCAGGATGGGGCAGCCAGAGGAGCTGAAGAGGGAGGGAGGGGAGACCCCGGAGGAGTCAGGGATGCGAAGCCGGGGCTCCGAGCATCTCTGAATCTGGAGGCTGGAGATGAGAGAATCTGAGATGTTTCATTTTGGGAGTTCAGGGTGAGGTCCTGTTGTTGTGGGGTCCTGGCTGGTGACCTGCTGTCTTGCAGAGTGTGGCTTGCAGCCTGCCTGGAGGATGGCCGGGAGGATCGTGGGTGGCGTGGAAGCGTCCTCGGGGGAGTTTCCATGGCAAGCCAGCCTTCGAGAGAGAAAGGAGCACTTCTGTGGGGCCACCGTCATCGGTGCCAGGTGGCTGGTGTCGGCCGCGCACTGCTTCAACGAGTAAGCCTCCATCCCGAAGCACCAGACCCGAACCCTCTGTCTCTCTCCTGCCTTCCCTCACGCACTGAGGACGTCACTTCTGGTCACCTCAGAGCCCTTGGAAGTAATTTTTTCTATTCCTTGCTTTCTTGCTTTTGTTGTTATTGAATTTGAGTGCGTTATTTTTATGAGACACAGTCTCACTCTGTTGCCCAGGCTGGAGTGCAGTGGCGCGACCTTGGCTCCCCGCCGCCCCTGCCTCCCAGGTTCAAGTGATTCTCCTGCCTCAGCCTCCTGAGTAGCTGGGATTCCAGGCACGCGCCACCGTGCCCAGCCAATTTTTGTGTTTTTAGTAGAGACGGGGTTTCACCATCTTGGTCAGGCTGGCCTTGAACTCCTGACCTTAGGTGATCCGCCCACCTCGGCCTCCCAAAGTGCTGAGATCACAGGTGTGAGCCACTGCATCTTGCCTTTTTTTTTTTTTTTTTTTTAAATTTTTATATTTTTGTGACGGTCTTGCTCTTTCGCCCCGGCTGGAGTGCGGTGGTGCGATCTCAGCCCACTGCAACCTCCACCTCCCGGGATCAAGCGATTCTGTCACCCCAGCCTCCCACGTAGCTGGGACCACCACGCCCGGCTAATTTTTGTGTGTGTGTGTGTTTGGTAGAGACAGAGTTTCGCCATGTTGGCCAGGCTGGTCTCGAACTCCTGACCTCAAGTGATCCACTTCCCTTGGCCTTCCACGCTGCTGGGATGACAGGCGTGCTCAGCCTGGCTCTGCCGTTTCACATTCCCACCAGCAGCAGCGCGCAAGGGTTGCGGTTTCTCCACATTCCCCGGTTTCTGTTCTGAGAGCAGCCATCCCCGTGGGTGTGGAGGAGCGTCTGCCGCTGGCTTTGACTCGTGTTCCTCTGGTGACTGGTGACATTTGGTTGATGTTTTGCTTATTGTGGACATTTTTTGCATTCACTTTTTAAAAAATACTGTCTTGTGATATTATTTATCTTTTTGTGTGTGTGAGATGGAGTCTCCCTCTGTCCCCCAGGCTGGAGTGCAGTGGTGCAATCTCGGCTCACTGCAACCTCCGCCTCCCAGGATCGAGCGATTCTCCTGCCTCAGACTCCCGCGTAGCTGGGACCACAGGTGCCTGCACCACCTGGCTAATGTTTGTATGTTTGGTAGAGGCGGGGTTTTGCCATGTGGGCCAGGCTGGTCTCGAACTCCTGGCTACAAGTGATCCACCTGTCTGTGCCTCCCAAAGTGCCGGGATTACAGGTGTGAGCCACTGCACCCGGCTCGGTATCATTTATCTTGATGGCTGAGGTGTTTGGCACCTCTTGAAATTTTGTGCGGGAGGCTGGTGGCTGGCCCCCCTCACCCTAATGCCAGCTCTGTCAGATCCTGTCTTTGTTTAAAATGTTGATACTTGGCTGGGCGTGGTGGCTCACGCCTGTAATCCCAACGCTAGGAGGCGGAGGCGGGCGGATCACGAGGTCAGGAGTTCGAGACCAGCCTGGCCAATATGGTGAAACCCCATCTCTACTAAAAACACACACAAAACTTAGTAGTCACAGGGGGAGCACACCTGTCATCCCAGTTACTTGGGAGGCTGAGGCACGAGAATCACTTGAACCCGGGAGGCAGAGGTTGCAGTGAGTTGAGATTGCGCCACTGCCCTCCCGCCTGGGCAACAGAGTGAGACTCCGTCTTAAAAAAAAAAAAATGTCGATACTTCATGCATCGTGCATTCTTCTGCACCTGTGATTTTTTTTTTTTTTCTTTTTTTTAGACAGGTCTCACTCTGTTGCCCAGGCTGGAGTGCAGTGATTCGGTGATAGCCCACTATAGCCTCAGCCTCCCAGGCTCAAGCGATCCTCCTACCTGAGCCTCCTGAGTAGCTGGGACCCAGGTGCACACCACCACACCCAGCTAATACTTCTATTTTTCTTTTCCTTTTAAAGAGTAGGTTTGGGGCCAGGCGCGGTGGCTCAAGCCTGCAACCCCAGCACTTTGGGAGGCCGAGGCGGGTGGATCAATCACGAGGTCAAGAGATCGAGACCATCCTGGTCAACATGGTGAAACCCCGTCTCTACTAAAAAATACAAAAAATCAGCTGGGCATGGTGTCACGTGCCTGTAATCCCAGCTACTCGGGAGGCTGAGGCAGGAGAGTTACCTGAACCCAGGAGGCGGAGGTTGCGGTGAGCCGAGATCGCGCCATTGCACTCCAGCCTGGGTAACAAGAGCGAAACTCCGTCTCAAAAAAAAAAAAAAAAAAGAGTGGGTTTTTTATGTTGCCCAGGCTGGTCTCAAACTCCTGGGCTCAAGTGAACCTCCTGCCTCTGCCTCCAAAAGTGTGGGATTTAAGGCAGGACCCAGCATGCCCAGCCTGAGATTTAGAAATACTTTTTATTTTTACTTTTTTTTTTTAATAAATAGAGACGGGGTTTCACCATGTTGACCAGGATGGTCTCGATCTCTTGACCTCGCGATCCCCCCGCCTCGGCCTCCCAAAGTGCTGGGATTACAGGCATGAGCCACCGTCCCCGGCCTATAAATAGTATTAAAATGTATTAATTTAGGTGGAACACCCCATAAGTTTTGTATCCAAGGTGAGTGTCCCGTCTGCCTCTGCCGAAGGCTCTGACCCCCGGTGGCCTCTGAGCTGGGGCGTTCTCTCCTGCAGATTCCAAGACCCGACGGAGTGGGTGGCCTACGTGGGTACGACCTACCTCAGCGGCTCAGAGGCCAGCACCGTGCGGGCCCGGGTGGCCCAGATCATCAAGCATCCCCTGTACAATGCAGACACGGCCGACTTCGACGTGGCGGTGCTGGAGCTGACCAGCCCTCTGGCTTTCGGCCGGCACATCCAGCCTGTGTGCCTCCCAGCCGCCACGCACGTCTTCCCACCCAGCAAGAAGTGCCTGATCTCGGGCTGGGGCTACCTGAAGGAGGACTTCCGTAAGCATCTTCCTCCCTCCGCCTCAAGGGAGCTCAGGCAGCGGGGCGGGCAGATAGCACAGGAAACGCGGTGGGGTGCCTCACTCTCCAATGCTGTATTCATGAATTCCACTGCTTACTAAAATGTATCTATCACCCCATCTGCGATGCTACTGTTTTTTTTTTTTTTGAGACAGAGTTTCGCTCTTGTTACCCAGGCTGGAGTGCAATGGCCGATCTCGGCTCACGGCAACCTCCGCCTCCTGGGTTCAGGCAATTCTCCTGCCTCAGCCTCCCGAGTAGCTGGGATTACAGGCACGCGCCACCATGCCCAGCTAATTTTTTGTATTTTTAGTAGAGACGGGGTTTCACCAAGTTGACCAGGATGGTCTTGATCTCTTGACCTCGTGATCCACCCGCCTCAGCCTCCCAAAGTGCTGGGATTACAGGCGTGAGCCACCGCGCCCAGCCTGATTTTTTTTTTTTAGATGGAGTTTTACTCTTGTTGCCCAGGCTGGAGTGCAATAGTGTGATCTCAGCTGTGTTCAAGCAGTTCTGCTTCAGCCTCCCAAGTAGCTGATATTACGGGCACCCTCCACCATGCCCAGCTAATTTTGTATTTTTAGTAGAGACGGGGTTTCATCATGTTGGTCAGGCTGGTCTCGAATGCCTGATCTCAAGTCATCTACCTGCCTTGGCCTCCCAAAGTGCTGGGATTACAGGCGTGAGCCACTGCACCCGGCTTTTTTCTTTTTCTGAGACGGAGTTTCACTCTTCTTACCCAGGCTGGAATACAATAGCGTGATCTCTGCTTCCTGGGTTCAAGCAATTCCCCTGCCTCAGCCTCCCGAGTAGCTGGGATTACAGGCATGTGCTACCATGCCCAGATAATTTTGTATTTTTAATAGAGATGGGGTTTCATCAAGTTGGACGGGCTGGTCTCAAAATCCTGACCTCAAGTGATCCACCTGCCTCAGTCTCCCTAAGTATTGGGATTACTGGTGTGAGCCACCATGCCTGGCTTTTTTTTTTTTTTTTTTGAGACAGGGTCTCACTCTGTCACCCAGGAGGACTGCAGTGGCAGGATCATAGCTCTCTGCAGCCTCGAACTACTGGGTTCAAGCAGTCCTCCCACCTCAATCTCCAGAGTAGCTGGGACTACAGACAAGAGCTACCCCACCTGCCTAATTAAAAAAAAAAATTGTAGAGACGAGTCTCACTGTGTTGCCCAGGCTGGTCTTGAACTCCTGGACTACGGGATCCTCCGGCTTTGGCCTCCCAGGGTGCTGGGATGACAGGCATGACCCACGGCCCCCGCCACTTGTGGGATTTTTGAGATCATCCTAAACAGGCACAGAATGATGAAGACAGCTGCTCGTGGGCTGGTTCGCAGCTGAGGCTGAACAGGGCCACATTCTGCCGCCCTTTTTTTTTTTTTGAGATGGAGTCTGGCTCTGTCACCCAGGCTGGAGTGCAGTACTGTGATCTCGGCTCACTGCAAACTCCGCCTCCTGGGTTCAAGTGATTCTTCTGCTCTGGCGTCCTGAGTAGCTGAGATTCCAGGCACCTGCCACCTTGCCTGGCTACTTTTTGTATTTTTAGTAGAGACAGGGTTTCGCCATGTTGGCCAGGCTGGTCTCAAACTCCTGACTTCATGATCCACCTGCCTCGGCCTCGCCAAGTGCTGGGATTACAGGTGTTAGCCACCGCGCCAGGCCTTCACTGCCATTGCTCTTTTTTTTTTTTTTTTGAGACGGAGTTTCGCTCTTGTTACCCAGGCTGGAGTGCAATGGCGCGATCTCGGCTCACTGAAACCTCCGCCTCCTGGGTTCAGGCAATTCTCCTGCCTCGGCCTCCCGAGTAGCTGGGATTACAGGCACGCGCCACCACGCCCAGCTAATTTTTTGTATTTTTTGAGACGGAGCTGCACGTGGCCAGTGGCCCTAAAAAAATTGATCTTAATGCACTTAAATGCACATCTGCCCGGGCACGGTGGCTCACGCCTGTAATCCCAGCACTTTGGGAGGCTGAGGCAGGTGGATCATGAGGTCAGGAGTTTGAGACCAGTCTTGCCAACATGGCGAGACCCTGTCTCTACTAAAAATACAAAAAATTAGCTGGGCATGGTGGCGCGTGCCTGTAGTCCCAGCTACTCTGAAGGCTGAGGCAGAAGAATCGCTTAAACCTGGGAGGCGGAGGTTGCGGTGAGCGGAGGTCGTGCCACTGCACTCCAGCCTGGGTGACAGAGTCAAACTTTGTCTCAAAAAATTAGTGCATCTAAATAGCTGCACGTGGCCAGTGGCTACTGAACTGCACGGTGTAGCTGCAGGGGTGGTGCTCAGTCACACACAAGGTGTCCGACAGGAGGCGATGAATCCAGTGGAGAAAAGTAAGGCAGGGGTGGGGGCTGCAGTTTCAAACAGGAGTTCAGGAGACACCTCCTGGGGAGAGATGGAGGAAGTCAGGCAGATTCTGCAGGGACAAGCATTTCAGGCAGCAGGAACAGCATGTGCCAAGAAAGGCCCTGGGGTGGGAGGACAGCAAGGAAGTCCCGGGGCTGGAGCTGATGGGGCCTGATTTAATGTTTAGCAAGGGGGGTGGTGGCTGCTGGGGTGTGATCGGTGTAAAAGAATGAGTGGGGACAGCTGTCCGGATCCAGGCAAGGATGGGCATGAGACGGGGTGATTCTGGGTATATTTGGGGGCCGGCAATTTGAGGCCTGCGGGCCTGGAGGGAGAGGGACCTGAGATCCCTTAGACGGGGAATGCTGAGGGTGGACGGGGCTTGCGGAGGGGAGAGGAGGACCCTGGGCCGGGGGTGTTAAGTCTGATGCCTCTTCCCTGTCCAGGCAGAGTGTCACCGGGTGGGGTATTGAGCTTTGGCAGTCAGAGCCAGGTGTTGTAGGCAGCCACACTTGCAACTGGGGAGACTGAGGGAGGCTCAGAGAGGAGATGTCCTTCAGCGCCCCGCCCCCCCCGCCCCCAGCACAAAGTGGCTGCCGGGGCTCTGGCGCTCTTACCTGCTTTTCTCTCTGCATCGGGGCAGTGGTCAAGCCAGAGGTGCTACAGAAAGCCACCGTGGAGCTGCTGGACCAGGCGCTGTGTGCCAGCCTCTATGGCACCTCGCTCACTGACACGATGTTGTGCGCCGGCTACCTGGACGGGAAGGTGGACTCTTGCCAGGTGAGCCCCCAACGCCCCAGACCCCAGAAAAACACAGAAATAGACACGAGCGTGTTCAAGTGCTGAGGGATTCGCAGATATCTGGATGCTCGTTCTTGAGGAATTTTAAAGCAATTGGGACTGAGAGGCAGATGCCACTTAGAGGCTCTTCCAGAAGCTCTGGCCTGACTACACTCCCTCCTCTATCCTCCATGGCTCCCTGCTCCCTCCCAAGGGGCCCCAGAGGCTGCCTGTGATGGGGTCCCTGTGTAAATCCCCCCAGCTGCCCTCTAAATGGGGACTTCTGTGGGGATACAGACGCTGTCCCCAGCACCTGCCCTGACACAACATGCCCCCCGAGAAACAGCTCTTGCATGAATGATGCCAGCACGTGCCCCGGGCATGTTTCTCTCCATCTGTACGGGAAACGCTGGTCTGTGGGAACCCCGTGGACTCTTGCCCCTGGTGGTCAGCTGGCAATTAGGGAGCTTCAGGCTCAACTCAAGCTTCCAGGACCAGGTGCGGCGGCTCCCGCCTGTCACTGCAGCACTTTGGGAGGCCGAGACAGGTGGACCACTTGAGGTCAGGAGTTTGAGACCAGCCTGAGCAACATGTTGAAACCCCGTTTCTAGTAGAAACAGAAAAATTAGCCGGGCATGGTTTACGTGCGCCTGTAATCCCAGCTACTTGAGAGGCTGAGGCTGGAGAATCACTTGAGCCTGGGAGGCAGAGGTTGCAGTGAGCCGAGATCACACCACTGCTCTCCAGCCTGGGCAACAGAGCAAGACTCTGTCTCAAAAAGAAAAGAAAATTAGAGGTCGCTCAAAGCTGCCTCTGCTGGTTACCTGGAATCTGCTTTCTTTCTTTTCTTTTTTGAGATGGAGTCTTGCTCTGTCGCCCAGGCTGGAGGGCAGCGGCATGATCTTGACTCACTGCAACCTCCACCTCCCAGGTTCAAGCGAGTCTCCTGCCTCATCCTCCGGAGTAGCTGGGATTACAGGTGCATGAAACCATGCCCAGCTAATTTCTTTGAGACGGAGTGTCACTCCGTCGCCAGGCTGGAGGGCAGCGGCACGATCTCAGCTCACTGCAACCTCTGCCTTCGGTTTCAAGTGCGTCTCCTACCTCAGCCTCCTGAGTAGCTGGGATGACAGGCATGTGCCCCCACACCTGGCTAATTTTTTTTGTATATTTAGTAGAGATGGGGTTTTTCTATGTTGGTCAGGCTGGTCTCAAACTCCCGGCCTCAGGGGATCCGCCCGCCTCAGTTTCCCAAAGTGCTGGGATTACAGGCATGGTCCACTCACTGCGCCTGGCCCAAAAACATGAAATTAAAACTTTTAAAATGTTGCTCAATTCTTGATGTGAGCTCGTGTTTGCTGTTCATTTTCTCTGGGTGGGGACACAAGCAGCTTCTGTTCTTGCATTCTGTGTCCCCTTTGTGGTTGCCCAAATCCCCCTTTTCTAGAGACAGTCTTGCTCTGTCACCAGGTGCCAGGCTGGAGTGCAGTGGCGCAATCTCGGCTCACTGCAACCTCCGCCTCCCAGGTTTGAGCGATTCTCCTGCCTCAGCCTCCCGAGTAGCTGGGACTACAGGCACGCGCCACCACGCCCAGCTAATTTTTGTATTTTTAGTAGACGAGGTTTCACCACGTTGGCCAGGATGGTCTTGATTTCTTGACCTTGTGATCCACCCGCCTCGGCCTCCCAAAGTGCTGGGATTACAGGCGTGAGCCACCGCGCCTGGCCCCAAATCCCTTTTCTACCCCAACCAAGCCAGGTCCTCTTGGGAAAGCTTTCTCCTCTTGAGCTTCTGCACACGTGCCCTTCCCTCCGTCAGCCTCTCCTGATTTTCCGTGGTTTCTGGCCCACCGTCCGGACCTCCCTAATTGTTTAGCATGGCTGTGGATTCCTTTCCTTTTTTGGGATGGAGTCTCAGTCGCCCAGGCTCGATGGAGTGCAGTGGCGTAATCTCAGCTCACTGCAACCTCCACCTTCCAGGTTCAAGTGATTCTCCTGCCTCATCTCCCATGTAGCTGGGACTACAGGTGCCTGCCACCACGCCCGGCTAATTTTTCATTTTAGTAGAGACGGGGTTTCACCATGTTGGCCACGATGGTCTCGATCTCCTGACCTCACGATCTGTCCGCCTCGGCCTCCCAAAGTGCTGGGATTAGAGGCGTGAGCCACCGCGCCAGGCCGGATTCCTTTCTCTTTTGTGCATGCCTTTGCTCGTTTCTGAGGCCTGGTGAGGGTGGGGGACAGGTCGGGAGACTACTGTGTGTGCTTAGATTGGCATATTGAAACCAGAACCTGGAGAAAATGCTGGCAACTCTTACTAGAGCAGGCTCGTGTTTAAGACATAAGACTTGGAGGCCCGGCGTGGTGGCTCATGCCTGTAATCCCAGCACTGGGGGAGGCTGAGTCGGGTGGATCACCTGAGGTCAGGAGTTCGAGACCGGCCTGGCCAACGTGGTAAAACCCTTTCTCTACTAAAGATACAAAAAATTAGCTGGGCATGGTGGCGGGTGCCTGTAATCCCAGCCACTAGGGAGGCTGAGGCAGGAGAATCACTTGAACCTGGGACGCAGAGGCTGCAGTGAGCCAAGATCATGCCATTACACTCCAGCCTGGCAACAGAACAAAACCGTTTCCAAAAACAAAAAAAGAAAAAGAAAGAAAAAGAATCTAAGAGTCAGAGTGACAGAGTGAGCTGGATATGGGAAGGTAACACTGGCGAAGCCGGATGAGTGAGCAGACGAAGCGCTCTGGGAGCAATGCTACAGCTACCAGGGAGACATCTGCAGGCCCCAGCATGGCAGCCATACTGTCAGCCTAGGCAAGTGGGGACATTACCAAAGATCTGTTGGGTTAAGAAGAGGAGGGGATGTTATTTGGGTCATGCTTTAGCCTGTCCATGGTAGGACTGACAGACATCTTACACATCCTGTAGTCCATGTTTTTCTTCCTCCGCAGAGGAGGAAGCTGAGGTTCTGAGACATGAATGATCAGCCCACGAGTGCTCTGGGCGCGCGTGTGGAGAGGTCTTGGCAGTGCCAGCTCAGAGCTGCTGCTTGGACCTCACAGCGCTGGCTTTTGGACTGGATGCTGCCGACCCATGCTGGGGTGTGTTGCTTTTCTAGGGCGACTCAGGAGGACCCCTGGTGTGTGAGGAACCGTCCGGCAGGTTCTTTCTGGCTGGCATTGTGAGCTGGGGAATCGGCTGTGCAGAAGCGCGGCGTCCCGGGGTCTATGCGCGAGTCACCAGGCTGCGTGACTGGATCCTGGAGGCCACCACCACAGCCAGCATGACTCCGGCCCTCACGGCAGCTCCTGCCCCCGCTGCCCCCAGCACGGCCTGGCCCACCGGTCCCCAGAGCTCCGTGGTCAACACCCCCACCAAATCCACACCGGACCCCGGCACTGTGGCTCTTGACTGGGTCACCGTTCCGAAGCTACAAGGTACTTTCCGGGCGGAAAGGCAGAAGGTGATGTAGGCCCCTAACTCGATTTAGGGAGCTGATGCCTTCATAGTGCCCCTAATTTTGAGTCTTCCTGTTTGAGGAAAGTCACGTTTATCCGTTTTTTCCCATCTTATTTGCTGTGGCCCCTCATGGTGTCTTTCGGTCCATAGATCTTGCCCATGTCTTGTTAACTCTGGCGATTTATCCATGGAATACTTTCCCGTGTTTTTTTTTTTTTTTTTTTGAGACTGAGTCTTACTCTGTTGCCCAGGCTGGAGTGCAGCGGTGCGATCTCAGCTCACTGCAACCTCCGCCTCCCAAGTTCAAGCGATTCTCCTGCCTCAGCCTCCCGAATAGCTGGGATGACAGGCATGTGCCACCATGCCCAGCTAATTTAGTATTTTTAGTACAGTTGGGGCTTCTCCATGTTGGTCAGGCTGGTCTCGAACTCCCGACCTCAGGTGATCCACCCACCTCCCAAAGTGCTGGGATTACAGGCGTGAGCCACCGCGCCCGGCCTATTGTATTTTCAAATAGTTTGTACCCAGATAACTTGTAGGACTGGCCAGGCGTGGTGGCTCACGCCTCTAATTCCAGCACTTTGGGAGGCAGAGGCAGGCAGATCACTTGAGGTCAGGAGTTCGAGACCAGTCTGGCCAACATGGCAAAACCCTGTCTCTACTAAAAATTAGCTGGGCGTGGTGGGCACCTGCAATCCCAGCTACTCAGGAGGCTGAGGCAGGAGAATCACTTGGACCTGGGAGGCGGAGCTTGCAGTGAGCCGAGATCACACCATTGCACTCCAGCCTGGGGGACAAGAGCAAAACTCAGTCTCAAAAAGAAAGAAAACGCGTGGGATTATCTCCTTGCTTCCCTGTTTTTAAGCCTTTTAGTTTACTGGGCCCGTGTCAGCTGCCGTGCGGTGAAAGCAGCAACACTGTGGAACATTCTTCCCGTTCCAGATGTAAGGGTGGGGGGTGTTTCTAGGGTTTCATTATTATTAATGCTGGGATTTGTGGTTTTGTTTTTTTTTTGAAGAGGAGTTTCACTCTTGTTGCCCAGGCTGGAGGGCAATGGCATGACCCTGGCTCACTGCAACCTCTGCCTCCTGGGTTCAAGCGATTCTCCCACCTCAGCCTCCCGAGTAGCTGGGATTACAGGCATGTGCCACCATCCCTAATTTTGTATTTTTAGTAGAGACAGGGTTTCTCCACGTTGGTCAGGCTGGTCTCGAACTCCTGACCGCGGGTAATCTGCCTGCCTCGGCCTCCCAAAGTGCTGGGACTACAGGCATGAGCTGTGGCACCCGGCCCTGTTTTTTATTTGAGATGGAGTTTCGCTCTTGTCACCCAGCTGAAGTACAGTGATGTGATCTCAGCTCACGGCAGCCTCTGCCTCCTGGATTCAAGCAGTTCTCCTGCCACAGCCTCCCAAGTAGCTGGGACTACAGGTGCCCACCACGCCTGGCTAATTTTTTTATTTTTAGGAGAGATGGAGCTTCACCAGGTTAGCCAGGCTGGTCTCGAACTCCTGACCTCAGGTGATCCACCCACCTCAGCCTCCCAAAGTACTGGGATTGGAGGTGCGAGCCACCGCGCCCAGCCATGCTTCATTTCAGTTCACCTATGCCCCGCTCTCCCCAAAACCCCGTAATGATCCTGCCCTTCCTTTTTTGACCCACGCCTTGGGTCGCCGGGAATGCCCGTGAAGCTGCCTCTGTGGGCTGCGGGGGTCCTGGGGATGACTGTGCCACTGTGTGTTACCTTAACTTCTGTCCCCTGAGCTGGGCCATGTACCTCCCTGGAGACCCTGGGCAAGCTACAGACGCCTGGAAGCCTCCAAGGCTTCATCTGTAGAGAGGGAGTAATTACCAGCACAAGCCTGGCTGCCGTCGGTGTCCTGGGACCCCCCACTCCCATGCTCCCGTCTGAGCAGGCCAGGATCCCCAGCCCTGGTCTTGTGTCCCCTTCCAGAATGCGGGGCCAGGCCTGCGATGGAGAAGCCCCCCCGGATCGTGGGCGGGTTTGCAGCGGCCTCCGGGGAGGTGCCCTGGCAGGTCAGCCTGAAGGAAGGGGCCCGGCACTTCTGCGGAGCAACCGTGGTGGGCGACCGCTGGCTGCTGTCTGCCGCCCACTGCTTCAACCAGTAAGGCCCGCCTCCTCCAGGAAGGCTGCCTGGCTTCCCCTCCCTGTCAGAAACCATCCTGCTGGGGCTGCCACATGGACCAGGGCAACTGGGAGACAAGAGAGAGCTGGTGCCAAGGCTTCAGAGGAGAAACAGGGCCCGCCCAGGGGAGGGAGGAGGAGGGCAACTTCCCTACTGCTTGCTACTCAGGTCACATTTATCTTGAAGATTTCCAAGCGTGGTGGCCAACACCTGTGGTCCCAGCTACTAAGGTGGCTGAGGCAGGAAAATTGCTTGAGCCCAGGAGGTTGAGGCTGCAGGAAGCCTCATCGTGCCACTGCACTCCAGCCAGGGTGACAGAGCGAGACCCTGGCTCAACCAAAATGACAGACTCCTAAGCTGTAGGGACTGGGGGGGGGGGGCGGCTTTGGCACAGGGGTAGAAAATGAAGCCTGAGGCTCCCCTGACCTGCCCAAGGTCCCCCAGCTCGGGATCCTTTTCAGGAGGAGCCCAGCAGCCCCTCTTCCCCTGGTCCTCCTCCCTGGAGCCGAGGGCTGGAGGAGTGGTCCTGGGGCCCAGGCAGCCCTGTGTGGCTTCCCAGGGCCATCAGCCTTGGCTCCCCAAGAAGGCAGGTGTGATCCGGAGGGCGGGCACGCCTGAGCGCCCAGGCAGCCCTGTGTGGCTTCCCAGGGCCATCAGCCTTGGCTCCCCAAGAAGGCAGGTGTGATCCGGAGGGCGGGCACGCCTGAGCGCCCTGTCTCCACAGCACGAAGGTGGAGCAGGTCCGGGCCCACCTGGGCACTACGTCCCTCCTGGGCCTGGGCGGGAGCCCAGCGAAGGTGGGGCTGCGGCGGGTGATGCTGCACCCCCTCTACAACCCTGGCACCCTGGACTTCGACCTGGCCGTCCTGGAGCTGGCCAGCCCCCTGGCCTTCAACAAGTACATCCAGCCTGTCTGCCTGCCCCTGGCCATCCAGAAGTTCCCCGTGGGCCGGAAGTGCATGATCTCCGGATGGGGAAACACGCAGGAAGGAAACGGTGAGCCCTGCCTGGCGAGGGGGACGGCGGGTGCATTCTCCAGGGCCCTAAACCAATTCCACCGCACAGGGACCTCTGCCTGGTCCCACTGCCCACACACCACTCACCTCTCCATTCCGTGTCGGGGAAAATCTGGCCGTTACCTCTTTGTATAAAGTTTTATTGGAAAAAGGGCCACATTCACATACCAACAGATGGTCTATGGCTGCTTCCCTGCAGCAGCAGAGGGGTTAAGTAACCGTGACAGGGACTGGCCTTTAAAGACGAAAACATTTAATCCTCTGGCCCTTTACAGAACATGTTTCCTGGAGGCGCCGTAGCTCACGCCTGTAGTCCCAGCACTTTGGGAGGCCAAGGCGGGTGGATTCCCTGAGCTCAGGAGTTCGAGACCAGCCTGGGTAACAGTGAAACCCCGTCTCTACTAAAATACAAAAAAAAATTGCCCAGACATGGTGGTGTGTGCCTGTATTTCTGGCTACCAAGGAGGCTGGGGCATCACTTGAACCCAGGAGGTGGAGGTTGTAGTGAGCTGAGATTGTGCCATTGCACTCCAGGCTGGGGACAGAGCAAGACTTCATCTCAAAAAAAAAAAAAAATAGGGAGGTATGGTGGTGGGTGCCTATAATCCCAGCTACTTGGGGGGCTGAGGCAGGAGAATCATTTGAACCCAAGAGGAGGAGGTTGCAGTGACCTGAGACTGCCCTGCTGCACTCCAGCCTGGGCGACAGCAAGACTGTCTCAAAGACAAGAAAAGACAATGTCTGCAGGCAGGTGCGGTGGCTCACGCCTGTCACGCAGGCACTTTGGGAAGCCAGGGCAGGAGAATCACTTGAGCTCAGGAGGTGAAGACCAGGCTGCACAATGTAGTGAGACCCAGTGTACTAAAAACTTTCCTTAAAAAAGGCTGAAGAGCACAGTGGCTCACACCTATAATCCCAGCACTTTGGGCGGCTAAGGCGGGTGGGATCACTTGAGGCCAGGAGTTCGAGACCAGCCTGCCCGACACGGTGAAACCCCGACTGTACTAAAAATCAGCCAGGTGCGGTGGCTCATGCCTGTAGTTCCAGCTACTCAGGAGAATCGCTTGAACCTGGGCGGGGGAGGTTGCAGTGAGCTCAGACTGCGCCACTGCACTCCAGGCTGGGTGACATAGTGAGACTCCATCTAAAAGAAAGTAAAAATTAAAAATTAGCTGGGTGTGGTGGCCCATAGTGGTGGCCTGTAGTCCCAGCTACTCAGGAGGCTAAGGCAGGAAATCACTCGAGGCTAAGAGTTTAACGCTGCAGTGAGCCATGATCATGCCACTGCACTCCAGCCTGGGCAACAGAGCAAGACCCCATCTCAAGAAAAGAGAAAATGTTCACTGCCGATGTGCTAGTGTATCCCGAGACCCCTCCCACCCCAACAGATACTGCTCCCCTCGACCTGAGAATGGCCTCCTACACGTTACCCAGGTGCTAAGGCAGCAGCCCTGTGGGGACCGTGGGCTCCGAGTGAGGCATCTGAGTTCCACCTCCTTTTTTTGGAGACGGAGTTTCGCTCTTGTTACCCAGGCAAGTGCAATGGCGCGATCTCGGCTCACCGCAACCTCCACCTCCTGGGTTCAGGCAATTGTCCTGCCTCAGCCTCCTGAGTAGCTGGGATTACAGACACACGCCACCAGGCCCAGCTAATTTTTTGTATTTTTAGTAGAGACGGGGTTTCACCGTGTTGGCCAGGATGGCCTCGATCTCTTGACCTCGTGATCCACCCGCCTCGGCCTCCCAAAGTGCTGGGATTACAGGCATGAGCCACCGCGCCCGGCCCTCCTCCTTAAGCTATGGCTTTGTGCAATTCCTGGAACTCTGAGCCTCTGTCTCTGTGGGGTGGGCACGCCGTGTTTCGGGGCTGTTAGTGGAGCTGACTGGAGCTGCTGTGGCGAGCACTCTGCATGTGGCCTTTCTGGGCGCTTTCCCTGCAGCCAGCAAGCCCGAGCTCCTGCAGAAGGCGTCCGTGGGGATCATAGACCAGAAGACCTGCGGCGTGCTGTACAACTTCTCCCTCACGGACCGCATGCTCTGCGCGGGCTTCCTGGAAGGCAGAGTCGACGCCTGCCAGGTAACCGTTCACAGGGGAAAGCCGGGTGCTATTTACCAGTTTTGTTTTGTTTTTGAGGAGTCTTGCTCTTTCGCCAGGCTGGAGTGCAGTGGCGTGATCTCAGCTCACTGCAACTTCTGCCTCCCGGGTTCAAGTGATTCTCCTGCCTCAGCCTCCTGAGTAGCTGGGATTACAAGCACGCACCACCATGTCCAGCTGATTTTTTTGTTTTTGTTTTTAGTAGAGATGGGGTTTCATTATATTGGCCAGGCTGGTCTTGAACTCCTGACCTCAGATGAGCCGCCCACCTCAGCTTCCCAAAGTGCTGGGATTACAGGCATGAGCCACTGTACCCTGCTTTTTTTTTTTTTTGAGGAGTCTTGCTGTGACGTCAGGCTGGAGTGCAGTGGCGCGATCTCAGCTCACTGCGACCTCTGCTTCCTGGGTTCAAGCAAGGCCCCTGCCTCAGCCTCCTGGGTAGCTGGGACTTGCAGGTGCGCGCCAGCATGTCCGGCTAATTTTTTGTATTTTTAGTAGAGACGGGGTTTCACCATGTTGACCAGGATGGTCTCGATCTGTTGACCTCGTGATCCCCGCCGCGGCCTCCCAAAGTGCTGGGATTACAGGTGGGAGCCACCGCGCCCAGCCACGGGGCAGTATCCAGATTAAATGCCCACACCCTTTCACTCGGCAGTTCTGTGTGTGGGCAGACGTAGATTTTTTTTCTGTTTGAGACAGAGTCTCGCTCTGTTGTGCAGGCTGCAGTGCAGTGGTGCGATCTCAGTTCACTGCAGCCTCCACCTCATAGGCTCAAGTGGTTCTCCTGTCTCAGCCTCCCGAGTAGCTGGTACTACAGGCGCGGGCCACCACGCCCGGCTAATTTTTGCATTTTTACTAGACATGGGTTTCACCATGTTGGTCAGCCTGGTCTTGAACTCCTGATCTCAAGTGATCCACCCACCTTGGCCTCCCAAACTGCTGGGACTGCAGGACTGAGCCACCACGCCTGGCCCAGATTTCTGAAGGGCTCAACTGCACATGCAAAGAGGTTAATTTTTAGGCTGAGTGCGGTGACTCACGCCTGTAATCCCCATGCTTCGGGAGGCTGAGATGGGAGGATCAGCTGAGGCCAGGACTGCAAGACCCATCTGGGCAACATAGTGAGATCCCATCTCTGCGGGAAAAAAAAAAAAAAAAACTTGCCAGGCGAGTGGCAGGCACCTGCGGTCCCAGCTCCTTGGGCAACTGAAGCGGGAGGATCTCGCGAGTCTGGGAGTTTGAGGCTGATCACACCACTGCACCCCATCCTGGGTAACAGAGCAAGACCCTACCCCAAAAAACGAGCTGGACGCAGTGGCTCACGCCTGTAATCCCAGCACTTTGGGAGACTGAGGTGGGTGGATCATCCGAAGTCAGGAGTTTGAGACCAGCCTGGTCGGCATGGTGAAACCCTGTCTCTACTTAAAAAAGAAAAAAAACAAAATCAGCTGGACGTGGTGGCAGCCACCTGTAGTCCCAGCTACTCGGGAGGCTGAGGCAGGGAGAACTGCTTGAGCCCAGGAGGCGGACGGAGGTTGTAGTGAGCTGAGGTAACGTCACTGTACTCCAGCCTGGGCGACAGAGACGCTGTCTCAAAAAAAAAAAAACCAGCCTGGCAGCTAGTGATCAGGGGCTACTTCTAGGTGGTGGGACTATTCGTGGCTTTTACTATTTTTTTTTTAGGAGTTTTTTTCTGCCTTGTTTTATCGCCCAAAACAAAAGAATGATGGAAACTCAGAAGGGACTCACTCCAGGTCACACAGCCAGGCGTGGGGCTGCGGCCAGGTCTCCAGACCGATGCTGTGCCCTCTGGTCCCCCGATGAGCCCCACCAACTGTAGGGACACAGGAGGGTCTGGCAGTGCCGGGAAGAGAGGGTCCTTGGAGGATCAACCAGCGCTCTTTCCCTCCTTTCCAGGGCGACTCTGGGGGCCCCCTGGCCTGCGAGGAGACCCCCGGCGTGTTTTATCTGGCAGGAATCGTGAGCTGGGGGATTGGCTGTGCCCAAGTTCAGAAGCCTGGTGTGTACACGCGCATCACGAGGCTGAAGGGCTGGATTCTGGAGACTATGGCCTCCCAGCCCCTTCCTGTGTCTCCGCCCTCGACCACAAGGACGCTGGCCACCACCAGCCATCCTCCCAGAATGACGGCTGGCCTCACAGTCCTGGGGGCCACCCCCAGCCAACCCACCCCAGTGGCCACCAGCAGGGTGACCGGCCAATCTGCCAACTCAACCTTATCTGCCATGATAACCACCTCTGGGGGACAGACGCCACTTCCAGAAACCCCAGAGGCCACCACTCGCTCCCAGCTACCAGGTACTGTGAGAGAGGGAGGGACCCCTGGAGTGGAGGGTACCATGATCATCAGCTCGGGCTGCCTAACAAGATATAACGTCCCCTGGGCGTGGTGGCTCACGCCTGTCGTCCCAGCACTTTGGAAGGCTGAGGCCGGTGGACCACCTGAGGTCAGGAGTTTGAGACCAGCCTGGCCAACGTGGTGAAACCCCGTCTCTACAAAAATTAGCTGGGCGTGGTGGGGTGTACCTGTGGTCCCCGCTACTTGAGAGGCTGGGGCAGAATTGCTTGAACCCAGGAGGCAGAGGTTGCAGTGAGCCGAGATGGTGCCACTGCACTCCAGCCTGGGCCACGAGAGCGAGAGACTATGTCAGGAAAGAAAAAAAGGCAGGCAGGGGGCTTTGGCGGCTCAGTCGTGCCGTGTCCATGGGCGAGTGTTTCTGGTTAACTGACAGCTGCCCTCATCCGGGTCTGTCCCCGCAGCCTGACGGCTCTCGCTGTCTCAGTCTGAGCTGCTTTTTACTTTTTTAGTAGCTATGGCCTGGGAGCTCTTAACTTTGGGTGCAAGAGAGGTAGAGAAGGCCCCCTTGAAATGGAGGCGGGCTGTGTGTGGAGACCGCTGGCATTCCCAAGGACAGGGGCTGCGGCTGCCGGCGGATTTGCCAAGGCCATCTGGTCTCAGGGTCGGACGGCGCCAGGGCTGGCGGGGAGGTGGAACTTCTCTTCCTTGCTGGCCTTCACGTCTGCTTCGGATGGGGCTTTGGGGAGCACCCAGGGAAGCCAGCTGGGCGGTGGTAGAGGGTGGGGAGGGGGCTAGCCCCTGAGGAGGAAAACGGCCCTCTGGAGACATCAGGTGGGTACGGGTCCCCCTCCATGGGTGGTAATGGGGTCCCTGGAAACCACCCACACATTCTTCCACAGCTGAGTTCTGAGGGAGGCCTCTGCGCTCCCCGGCCTGGGAGGGCTCAGCCTGCAGGGAATGTGAGGGAAGGGGATGGGGCAATCAGGGACCCAGGCAGAGAGCACCAAGGCGGGGTGGGGCTCTGGGGAGGGCCCTGGTGTCTGCCAAGGCCTTGGGTGGATGGAAGTTGTGGAGGCCTGAGGTGTGGCCTCCCGCCTGGCCCCCAGCAGGGGTGGTGTGGCCTGAAGCTGAAGCCACAGGGAACACAGGCATTCCACTGTTACCTGGGAAAAGCCCAAACACCACGCATCAGGCCCAGTGTCCTTTCCTGGGGCAGGTCCTCCCTCGCATCCCCTCCCCAGGGCTCTCACAGCGGAGGGCCGCGTCCGAGGGGCTGAGTTGGGGAGGAGCCCTGGACCCACCTGCCCATGCGCCTGGCTCCCCCGCAGACTGCGGCCTGGCACCAGCGGCGCTCACCAGGATTGTCGGGGGCAGCGCGGCGGCCCGCGGGGAGTGGCCGTGGCAGGTGAGCCTGTGGCTGCGGCGCAGGGAGCACCGCTGTGGGGCCGTGCTGGTGGCAGAGAGGTGGCTGCTGTCCGCGGCGCACTGCTTCGACGTGTGAGTCTGAAACGCCCCTGCATGTATCTGTAGTTCACCAGGAACCGAACTGTTCCGACCCGGCTCCCACTGCTCCCCCACTGCCCACCCCCTCCACCGACCACCCAGGCTGGGGCTGTGAAGGCCGAGTCTTACCCCGCGGTCCCCCCAACCCGGGGGCTGCGGCCTCTCCAAACTTGGGCCAAGCCGACGGGGACACTGAGGTCACTTCTCTCCCCAGCCCTCACCCTTCGGACTTAACTCCAGCTTCCCAAAGCCCACCCAGTAGAAAGTTCCCCTCCCCTGGCAGGCGAGGGGTTGCATCTTCCAGCAGGGTCACCCAGCTCCGGCCCCGCGGGGCTCGAGGTCAGAAGGGGAGGGCGGGTGGGGGCAGAGACCCTCCCCCCTTTCAAAGGCTACCATTTGTGGGGATGGCTGCATTTCTTGGTGCTGCCTTGGTGCCTGGTAGCTGGGCTTAGTGGGGGCCCCTGAGCCCTTTCCCAGACCAGCAGCCAGAGGCCAAGAACCCCACCCAGGGTCCAAGCTGGCCGCTGGGGGACACCGCAAGGGCAGGGGCCGCACAGACTCGGGCCCACGCTTGTCCTCGTGCACCCTGCAGCTACGGGGACCCCAAGCAGTGGGCGGCCTTCCTGGGCACACCGTTCCTGAGCGGCGCGGAGGGGCAGCTGGAGCGCGTGGCGCGCATCTACAAGCACCCGTTCTACAACCTCTACACCCTCGACTACGACGTGGCACTGCTGGAGCTGGCGGGCCCGGTGCGCCGCAGCCGCCTGGTGCACCCCATCTGCCTGCCCGAGCTCGCTCCAAGACCCCCCGACGGCGCGCGCTGTGTCATCACCGGCTGGGGCTCAGTGCGCGAAGGAGGTAGGTGCGCCCTGGGCTGCGGGAGTGTGGGGCGCGGGGGGCGGCCAGACAGGGTCCCCACCTGTCCCGTCTCGCCCGCCCGCAGGCTCCATGGCGCGGCAGCTGCAGAAGGCGGCCGTGCGCCTCCTCAGTGAGCAGACCTGCCGCCGCTTCTACCCGGTGCAGATCAGCAGCCGCATGCTGTGCGCTGGCTTCCCGCAGGGAGGTGTGGACAGCTGCTCGGTGAGCCCCAGGTCCTGCCCCGCCCCCGGGGAGGGCGGGTTCCCGCCGCCACCAAGCCCAGCAGCTCAGTGCCGCCCTGCAGTGCGGACTTCTCCAGCGGATCAGGCAGGGCGCCTTTCTGGCTCTGGGGGACCGTCCACTTCACAACCGTTTATTGGGCACCCACGAGACGGTCCCCCCACCCACCGCATCCCACCCCTGGGCGTCAGCGGCAACGGGTGGCCCCGTTCCACTTCGGGACCACGTGGCGGGTGTCCACAAATGTCGGCCACCTGTGCACTGAGCCCATTTTCCAGAGAGTGAAAGTGAGGGTCCCAGGGGAAGTCACGCGCCCGAGGCCTGATGTAAGGGGGTACCAGCCTCGTAACCCGCTTTCTTCTCTCCCCAACAGGGCGACGCTGGGGGACCCCTGGCCTGCAGGGGGCCCTCTGGACGGTGGGTGCTAACTGGGGTCACCAGCTGGGGCTATGGCTGTGGCCGGCCCCACTTCCCAGGTGTCTACACCCGGGTGGCAGCTGTGAGAGGCTGGATAGGACAGCACATCCAGGACTGACTGCCATGAGGCCACCTAGGCCAGGACTCTAGGTGAAAGCAGCAGGGCCAGTAGGCCACCCCACTCCACCTCATTGTACCTTACCCAAGGACAGGCGTGGGGGACGTGGAGGGAGCTGTGGGTCACAGGGAGGCACTTGAGTTGCACGTTTTGTTACAATTAACACAGCCCCTTCACCCTAGCTCACCGGCTCAGCACCTCAGTGTCGCAACCTGCCTGGTGCTCTACCACGACCTTGGGTGGAAGGGAGTGGGGTCTGCAAGGTTCTCTGGCCACACAGGGGACTACACCATGATGACCCCTGTGACCCACACGGCCGCCCACAGAGGAACTCCCAGAGCCAGAAAGTCTAGTCCAACCTTGTGACACACGACACACCCCCTTGCAAAACAAACAGCCACCCTGAACTGTAACTTCCCACTGCCTGCCCCAAACCTATAAAACCAGCTCCTGTCAGTTGCCCTCCACTGACTCTCTCTTCCGAATCCACCCACCAGCACCAGAGTGAATAAACAGCCTTGTTGCTCACACAAAGCCTGTTGTGGTCTCTTCATACACGTTACGATGATCATTTGGTGCCAAGACCCAGGTACCCCGTGTGACTTCTCCCCCCGTCAATCAACTACACCACTTTGTCTGCCCCACACAACTGCACGTCTCCTTCCGATTCTTTCCAATCAGCTCTACAAAACTCAAACCAATCCAACCCAACCCTAACAAAAGGTTGCTGGCTCGGGATCTCTCTCTCAGCTACAACTCATACCGCCGCTTCCGTCCCTGCAAAGACTTGGGTTCTTACTCACCTACGCTGTTACCCTCCGTATGAAGGAAAAAGGCCCTTTGAGCTCTTAAATATGCAGTCATCCATCTGTAACAAGATACAGGATGTGCACTACAGCTTCTGCACTCCTGGGTTTCCAACCTCACTCCATATACAGGTAATACCAAACCCATACCAGCTTCTGTAACCACAAATATCGCTTCGTTTTGTTTTTCTGAGGCAGACTCTTGCACTGTCGCCCAGGCTGTACTGCAGTGGCACCATCTCGGCTCACTGCAAGCTCCGCCTCCTGGGTTCAAGCGATTCTCCTGGCCCAGCCTCCTGTTAGCTGGGATTACAGGTGTGAGCCACCAGGCCTGGCACACAAATACTGTTTTAACTCTTTAGGCCCCTTTACGCTTCCAACACAGTCTATCCTCTGGCCTACCTCTTAGCCATCTCCTACCCTATCAATGCCACTTTACAACGCCAAGCCCCAATGGACTATCAGAACTCTCTAGGGACCCAAACTGCTTCATTTAGCCGACCTGTCTGCTTTACAGGCCCCCACAAGTCAGCACCACCTCTCTGCTTAACAGTCAGGTTTTGTAACACTTTCTCATACATCACGAAAACAAGACCTCTCCTTCCACACAATTACTCTATCAAACCCGACTACAACCTTTAAAAGCTGCAGTCCAGCCGGGCGCGGTGGTTCACGCCTGTAATCCCAGCACTTTGGGAGGCCGAGGTGGGTGGATCACGAGGTCAAGAGATCGAGACCATCCTAGTCAACATGGTGAAACCCCATCTCTACTAAAAATACAAAAAATTAGCTAGACATGGTGGCGCGTGCCTGTAATCCCAGCTACTCGGGAGGCTGAGGCAGAATTGCCTGAACCCAGGAGGCGGAGAATGCCGTGAGCTGAGATCGGCCATTGCACTCCAGCCTGGGTAACAAGAGAGAAACTCCGTCTCAAAAAAAAAAAAAAAGTCTCAGCCCTTGCTAGTTCCATTGGTATCTGGGGACAGGACCCCAGCCCCCCCAGAACGCTTTCTCGCCTTTTCAGTCTACACTTCCAGTTCTGCCTAAGTCAAGGACTTTTCTTCCTCTGTGGCTCTTTCACCTACCTCTGCCTTCTTACCAACTAGACAGGCACCTGTACCTTAATTTTCCTTACTCCCCAAATCCAGTTCACCAACAAAAATGACCATCTCCCTGTCCCCCTTGTAACTCCTACATGACAAGTCATTCCATTAATCCCCTTCCTGGTAGGACTGGGGTACCCACTGCTGCAATTGGAACAGGTATAGCCTTACTACTTCCATCACCACGTTCGGGGTCTCTCTAATGATGTTTCCGCCAGTATTTCAGACATACTCAAACACTGTTCTCCACGCCCAGGTTAATTCCCTGGCTGCAGGTGACCTGCAAGATCACCAAGTCCTCAATCTACTAACTGCTGAAATTAAAAAAAAAAAAAAAAAAAAAAGGACTCTGTCTATTCCCAAATAAACAACGCTGCTTTTATCTAAACCAATCTGGCCTTGTATATCACGCCACCAAAAGGCTGAAAGACAGGGCCCAGAAGCTCGCTCATCAGGCAAGTAAGTATTCTGGACCTAGCTGGCCTCTCTCCAGCGGGTATCATGCCTCCTTCCATTATCTGGCCCCTGATACCGATCTTTCTCCTTCTCTTATGCAGACTCGTCTCTCAGTCCCTACAAAACCATATCCAGGCTATAAGCAATCAGTCAATACAGCAAATGCTCCTCCTAACAACTGCAGACCATCGACGTTTGCCTCAAAACCTCTCGGCAGTCTGAATTCCCTCCCATTTTTAGGTTTCCACGCCGCTCTGGCTCCGGCTCCCACTCCCACTCGAAGCGCTGCCCCTCTGTACCACCCCCAAAATATTCACTGCCCCCTTTCTCTAGCTGTTACTTTTCATGTTGTTAATAAGGCCAGTCGCGTCGCTGGGAGCTCGGACACGCCCATTCCTCTCCGCGCCTGAAACTGACGTCACCAGACGTAACTGTAGAAACTGACGTCACCAGACGTAACTGTAGAAACTGACGTCATCTACCTCCGCCTTGGAAACCCCTCTGCACGCAGCCCTAAGCGCTGCACCCGGCTCACCGGAAATCCCGCCTACCTACCAAGAGCAGCTTGCCCCGTCCACGTCCCGTTTCTTCACAGCCAATCAAACGCCTTCCCTCCCTTTCAAACCCCATGCCTGAGAGGAGTCAGGTGTGCCTTCTCTGGCCTCTTTCCCCGGGACTACAGAACCTCACCTGGAAGCCGAATAAATTGGCGTCTAATTGTTCTCATGCAGGCCTCAGTTTCCTCCTTTTAAACTCGGCAATAAACCTCACAAGACAGTAACCCTTACAGTTAATATCCAAAAGGCAGGAGTGCAAGGTTCTTTGAACTGGCGGCACCGTGGTGACCCCTGAGACCCACAGGTGCACCTCCAGATGCAGTCCCAGAGCCAAAGAGCCTAACCCAGCCTTGTGACACTGGACCTTGCGACACCTTCCACCCCATCCCTGGCTTGCAAAAACCACCTTGCACTGTGACTTAGGTTAACTTTCCACTGCCCACCCCAAACCTATAAAACCAACTCCTATCCCGCCGCCCTCTGCTGACTCTGTTTCTGGACTCAGCGCACCAGCACTGGGGTGAATAAACAGCCTTGTTACACAAAGCCTGTTCAGGGCTTCTTGTCATTCAGAGGGCACTTAACAGGGTGAAAGCAAGCCCTGCCCTGGGGAGGGCTGCCCCCTTAGCCTTTGGGACGGGGTGGCACCAGCAACACATTCCTTGTGACTCAGCAGCCCAAGGGCACTAAGGGAAAAGACAGGGCTGGGCGCGGGGCTCACACCTGTAATCCCAGCACTTTGGGAGGCCAAGGTGGGCGGATCACGAGGTCAGGAGATAGAGACTATCCACGCCAACATGGTGAAACTATGTCTCTACTAAAAATACAAAAAATTAGCCGGGCGTGGTGGCACACACCTGAAGTCTCAGCTACTCGGGAGGCTGAGGCAGGAGAATCTCTTGAACCCGGGAGGCGAAGGTTGCAGTGAGCCGAGATTGCACCACTGCACTCCAGCCTGGGCGACAGAACGAGACTATATCTCAAACAAAAAAAACCAAAAGATGGACTTCCCCCAACCCAGAGGAGGCTGAGACCCTCCGAGCTGGGGTTCCGGGGCAAGCCTCACCTTCTCCCAGAGACCCCTCAGGATAGAAATAAACAGGTTTCTCTCTGCCCTCCGCCAACAACAATTCATTTGCCCATGCGCAGGAGCTGACAGCTCAGGTGGGGTCTGACCCCCGCTAACTCCAAACTCCAAACAAGAGTTCTCCACCCAGAATATGGGGCCGAACTGGGCACACCAGGGGAATACCCCAAAGTCTGAAGGAGGTGCCCCTGGGCTGGCAGCACTCTGGGAAGGCACACGGCCGCTCACCCCGAGAAGCAGGCTGCACTAGCTGGCGGGGGGAAGGGCGGGGGGTGGTGGTGAGAACACAGTCCCATCCGTCCCAGCACCGGTGCCACCCCCCTAAGCCCCGGGCAGGCAGTACGCACATGAGGGCCCCACCTCTCAAAGCACGTTTATGGAAATAAACAGGACGGGGTGGCCACCGGCCCGCCGGTCACAGGTTGGCTCGTTCCCGCTGCAGCCGCGAGTTGTAGGCGCGGGACACGGTGTTCCAGGCGTCCATGTAGCGGTCCATGCACATGGCGATGCACTTCTGCGGGAGGGGAGGGGAGGGGCGCACGGCTCAGCCCCGGCGCTCGCGCCCCCGCGGGTCCGTCCGCACCCCCGGCTCCAGGCTGCGCACGTGCAGTGGCCGCTCCCGGGCGCTGCCTCGTTAGTCCGCGCACGCGCAGACGCCTCCCCGCCCAAATCCAGACCCTCGCGACCCTCGCCCCGAACCTCCGCGGGTCTCACCTGCTCGGAGTTGTCCAGGGAGCCCCCAGGTTTCCCGATACACTTCCGGAAACACTTGTCAGTCATCCTCTGTGGAGACACGCCAGGCTTCAGCCGCGACGCCCGTCCTCAGGGGTGGCCCTGTCGCTCCCGGCTCCCCGCCCCCGGCCAGCCCCTCACCTGCAGCAACTCCTGCGCGTTGGCCACGGCGATCTGCACCTTCACCTGCTCCATGATAAGCCCTGGGTCCAGCTTACCGCTGCCGGAGCCCCCAAAATCCGAGCCGAAGCCGCCCTCCATGGCTCCGCAAAGTCAACCGGACCGAGGCCGCGTGCGCCGACCCGTAGCCGCGCCGGAAACGGGCCGCCCGGGGCACCACGGGAATCAAAGCCCGCGCGGGCGAGGACTAAGGACTACAACTCCCACAAGGCCGCGCGCGTCCGGCCCGCTCCAGGTTGCGCGGGGGCTCTCCGCGCATGCGCAGGCCTTGACTGTTTACCGACCGGAGCTGCCCGTGCTTGCGACTCCGCGGGGAGGGCGGCCCTGACTTGGCCCGGGGAGGGGGGGTGCCACTGTGTGAGGCCGAGGCCGATTACTTGGTACTCAAGCTCCGCCTCCGGCTTATCCCTCGGTCTTTTGCGCACGCGCACCAGGCACCCAGCGCGTCTAACCACGTGCTGCCGCCGGGGGTGCGGAGCCCGGTCGCATCAGGTGACTTAGAGTCCGTGCAGCAGCGTCGGAGACTCACTAGAAAAAAACAGACTGGGGCCTGTGTACCCTCGCCAGCGACCTTTGGGGGGGGGGGGGTCTTAGACATCTGCTTCGTTAGGGACAGAGGCCCCGGCTCGAGCTTCCCTGCGCTAGACTACTCAGGCAGAGCTTAAAATCAAAATGTTTATTGGAGTGTTGTACAAAAAAGTTTCCAGTCATAAAATGTATATTACAAATCATTGGAAAAGAAAACCCCACACATTTGGCATGCATCTTCTTAAAAACCGAATCTCTAAACCGAAAGCCCACGCCAGCCCGAGGCTGCAGCCCAGCTCCCTTTGCAGGTTGTGCGTGACGCTCGCTGGATGCAGGCTTGGAAGAGGCTGCAGGAGGCGGCGCCCCAGGACTGAGACCCTCAGATCTTTAACAAAAAGAACTGCCACGTGCAGGCCTCAGGCCAACCCCAGCCAAAGCCGCTGGCATGAGGACAGGTGCACGATCGGATTTTGGGTCAGCCCGCAGGCCCCGGCTCCTGGGCTCAACGGGGCAGGCTTCAGCGTTAACCTGGGGCTGTGCACCCCAGAACCCGGTTGGTCCAGCAGCCGTGGGCCTACCCCCCAGGGCTGGACGGCGTCTGATGCCTCGCAGGGAGGGTGCTAGGCTTAGAGTCACACGGCATGGGCTGACACAGAAGGAGGGTTTCGCATCTTCTAAGAGGTACACAGCTAAGCGTATTTGGGAGAAATGCAAATAGTTTCCCAGGCCGTAAATAACTTTTTAAAAATTTTGATTTTCTTAGTGTTTCCAAAGATTCATCATTTATCAATGAACCTCCAATCACCCACAGGCCACCCAGTCCACGTCTCTCGCTACCCTCTTCAGCTAAGGGCACCCACAGCTCCACTCAAGGCAAATGTAGCATGGGGGGGTCCTGGGCAGCCTCTGGACATCAGGACCTGCGAGTTTGAGGGGAACTTCTTTGTCCGTGAGCCCAGCCTGCAAGGCTGTCAGCAAATCACAGACCAACTCCAGGATACAGCTTTGCTCCCCTGGGCCCAAAATACAAAGGATGTGGCTGAGACCACCGCAGACTCCCACAAGCCAAGACCACCAAGACCCACCCCAGAACCCTCACGGCATGAAGCGTGGCCGGTGTGGTCCAGGTGATTCCTGCCGTGAGGGTGGGGAAGAGGACACAGCCTGGCGCCCCCATTCCCACTTCCAGAGGCTGGCAGAGGGTGTCTTGAGGCAGGCAAAGCTCCCCCACCAGCCGACCTTCCAGGAGAAAATGGTTTGGTAAGACACGCCCCCTCTACATGGGCGGGGGCTTCTCAGAGCGCGGACGGTGATGGGGCCACGTGGGGCAGCGGGTGTTTCTGCTGTTGGCTGCTGGCTCCTTCCAGGCCTGGGGCTCTGGCCTCCCTTACCCTCCTCCCACCAGCAGTCCCCAAGGAAGTGGACACTCAGTCCAGGGAGGCGGCACTACCCCCGCCCTGCAGTGGACGGCACGGCCCAGAGACAGCGAGTGCCCGTGGCTCAGTATCAGCATCTTTAAGACTCGAGCTGCACTTTCTGAAAGAGGCTTTGCCGTCGGAGGGTCCGCCAACCCGACGCCACCCGAGGAGGGTCAGCCTGTCCTCAAGGCCCCGGCGTGAACCCCTGATCTGCGTACTGACCAATGTAAAAAAATAAATATCCATTAAAAAAATAACTTCTGTGTATCTATGAGGGAGGGTGTAAACGGTGAGCTATTGCCAAAGAGGGGTGCCGGGCGTCAGGAAGCCGGACTGAGGGGCTTGGGGATGTCGAGACAGGACTCAGGTGGCCTTGGCCTGAGAAACATGGTTTCAGCGAGAGGGTCAGATAAAGCTACAGTGTGGATATGCACGTGTATATATAGGCGCGGTGCAGACTCTCCTCTAGAGGGTCAGGCATGGTGGCATTTCCTGCAGACAGCTGCTCTGAAACTCAGCCTCCGTGTCTGAGGGAACCAGAGACGTCCCCTCCACACTGTGGTCATGACAGATCTTACAACAAACAGGCCGGGCCCCGTTCTCCCTTCCCTGCCGTCAGCCCTGCAGTCAGGAACTGAACTTCCAAAAAACTCCAGCAAATCAAGTTGACAGAAAAACCTGGGACTCTGGAAGCCCAGGCAGCACAGCGAAAACCCACCCTGGGGGCCACGCGGTCCCCTCGCTGGTCCACACCTGCTGTGTGGCTGAGGGTCTGGGCAGCCAGAATCTGCAGGCCTGGCCTCCAGCCCCACCAGGTTGAAGCCTGAACTCTGAATTTGGTTTTGTAGAAAGCCTTCAAAAAGCAAAACCTGCTGGCTGCAGTGGCTCAAGCCTGTAATCCCAACATTTTGGGAGGCCAAGATAGGTGGATCACGAGGTCAGGAGTTCAATACCAGCCTAGTCAACGAGGTGAAACCCCGTCTCTACTAAAAATACAAAAATTAGCTAGATGTGGTGGCTCACGCCTGTAATCTCAGCTGCTCAGGAGGCTGAGGCAGGAGAATCACTTGAACTCAGGAGGCGGAGGCTGCAGTGAGCCAAGATAGCACCACTGAACTCCAGCCTGGGCAACAGAGCAAGTCTCCGTCTCGCATGAAGACCACCTCCTGTCCCCTCCCTAGCCTGCCAGCCCTCCTCCCTCCAAGCCTGAGCATCTTCTAAACCTCGGGGTCCTGGCCCTGGGCTTCCAACTGGACCAAATGGAGAGATGGGGAGCGGGGTGGATTGGAAAGTCTGTGGACCACAGGGAAACGGCGATGAAGCAGCTGGAGGAGACCCACTGCGGGAGGGCGCGGAGACCCGCCCACACGTTCTGGCGGTTTGCTTAGAAATTCTCTAAAAATGTATCAAGAACTAAATGAAGCCAATGATATAAAAATAGTTTTCAGTGGCTCTGGGTAAAGAAAGGTGTGTGGATGAGGAGTGTGGGTTCACATCACGCAGCAGCCTCTCGAGGTGGTCCTCGGGTCCCCCTGCAGGAAGGAAGGAAGGAAGGAAGGAAGGAAGGATGGGCGTGGTCAGGACGCAGCCACCTGGGGCGGTCAGGCGGCAGGTAGCTAGCTGGCCGTCCCCACTTCCCCACCAGGGCGGAGCAACAACAGTGTCTATTTCTAGAGCCTTCCATTCCATCTTCCCACGAACCCGACTGGGCTACACGTTCTGTTTTTGGGTTCCAGAAAGAACCACAGGAATCCTGGGATACGTGCATTTGATGTGGTTTCCGCACTCACCTCCCCAAAGCCAGCACTGAAGGGGCTTGGACGGAGGAAGCCTGGTTGACCAGAGAGCATCTGGGGAGCTGTTCAACACCCACCTCCCAGGGGACCCCCCGGCCAGCAACCCTGAGGGCTGTGATGTCACACATCCACATGACCGGCACAACCCGGGAGGCAAGAGCAGGTCTCTGCCGTGCCTGTGACAGCCAAGGCTGGCTTCACCGCGAGCCACGGGAGCCAGATGCAGCTCCCACCGGGGACGCGGCAAGCTCGTGTGAGTGCGTGCGTGCATGAGCTCATGCTGCCCCAGTCTGCTCCCCAGCCACAAGTGGGCACAGGTGCCCTACCTGTTGGTGGAAAAGATCCTCCTCGCCGAACTCGGCTTCCTCCTCCTCTTCCTCCCCGTTCTCATTCTCCCGCGCCACCGAGGACTGCTTCACGGTCCTGATGGCCACTTCCTGTGTGGGACGGGACACAGCAGCATGTCCGGGATCAGGCCCAGAGCTGCTGTGTCCGCCCCAAGGCTCCCAAGACCCCACCCAGGACTCCAGCCGAGCATCCCTCAAGTCAGGCACCCACCTCGCCATCCGCATTGACCAGGACGGTGCGGAAGCTCTCGCCCGTGCCCCAGCTGCTCTGGCCCTTCCACACCAGCGTTGAGGGGGGGCTATGGGCCACCCCAGCCCCAGCTGCCCATACCTGGGGACCCAAGAACAAGGATTCCCGTCAGGGTCACCTCTGGTTCCTGGGATGTGGGCCAGCCACTGGCCCCTACCAGGCAGCCCCCTTCAATGCCCTGGGCATTCAGTCCTTCCAGCCAGAGGCAGGCTTGTCCAAGGTGACGGTCCCCACAATAGAGAAGAAGGGAACACAGTGGCCAAAGGCTCCTGGCTCTCGCCCCCAGGCTCCACAATCCATGCCCCTGACTGCTACATCTCACGGGACGCCTGCTAGCCCCGACGGCCTGGTATCAGACTCTGGGCACACTGCTCAGGGTCAGGGAGGCCCAGTGGGGCCACTCGGGTACATGCAGGTTCCAGGACTGCGGCAGCTCCTCCAAGACAGTGCCTGCTGCCACCGCCATCCCCACCCCCTGCCGAGTCCCACACCTCCAGCCCCGCGGGCCCCACCTCACACCCTGTCCGTGGCCACTCTTGCCCTCCTGCCCCACCACCTACCGTGACCATCTGGCCAGCACGCAGGACATATTTGGGCGTGAACTTGTAGGCGATCTCCTCCCCCTCAAAGATCTGCCTCTTGATCCTCCAGTTCCCCAGAGACTGATCCTGGAAGAAGCGGCGCAAGCACAGCCCTCAGCCGCCGGGACTGGGATGCCTCCCCCTCGCCCTCGCCCTCGCCAGCGGCCCCGTCAGCCTGACCCTGGCCACCCCCTATCAGCTGACTCAAGCCCATTCCCTGTGACCCAGGCATTCCCGTCACCGCCATCCGCTGGGTCACTCATGTCACCCCTGTGCCCTGGTCATTCCCGTCACCGCCATCCGCTGGGTCACTCATGTCACCCCTGTGCCCTGGTCATTCCCGTCACCGTCATCCGCTGGGTCACTCATGTCACCCCTGTGCCCTGGTCATTCCCGTCACCGTCATCCGCTGGGTCACTCATGTCACCCCTGTGCCCTGGTCATTCCCGTCACCGTCATCCGCTGGGTCACTCATGTCACCCCTGTGCCCTGGTCATTCCCGTCACCGCCATCCGCTGGGTCACTCATGTCACCCCTGTGCCCTGGTCATTCCCGTCACCGTCATCCGCTGGGTCACTCATGTCACCCCTGTGCCCTGGTCATTCCCGTCACCGCCATCCGCTGGGTCACTCATGTCACCCCTGTGCCCTGGTCATTCCCGTCACCTTGTCTGAGTTGTTCTTCAGCTGCACGAACTTCCCCTCCAGGTCGATCTCCTCTATGCTGACGCTGCCCGAGGCCGAGGCCTGCTGGGCCAGGTGGAAGCTGCCGCCGCCGCCCGTGCCCAGGACGCTGGGGCCGCTGCCCAAGGGTTCCTCCACCTCCAGCCGCTTCCGCTTACTGCGGCCCAAGCGCCCAGTGGCCGGCGTGCTGCTGCCGCTGCCGCTGCCGCTCAAGGTGGCTCGAGAGACGGTGATGCGCGAGGATGGGCTGGGAGACAGCTTCAGCCTGTAGGGAAGGCGAGGAGGATGGGCCTGGCGGTGGGAGCCCCAGCCAGCCCCGCCCGCTCGCCCAGCGCCTCTTGGCCTCTTGGCCGCCCCACCTCTCCTCCTCGCCCTCCAGCAGCTTGCGGTAGGCGCTAATCTCCATGTCCAGGGCCAGCTTGACGTCCAGCAGCTCCTGGTACTCGGCCAGCTGCTGCTGCATCACGTCCCGCATCTCCGTCATCTCCTGCTCCTTGGCGTCCAGCATCTTCCGGAACTTGTCTCGCTCCCCGGCCATGGCCTCCTCCAGCTCCCGGATGCGATCCTCAGCTGCGCTGGCCTGCGGAGGGGGCGGGCAGCCAAGGTCAGGGCAGCCCTGGGTCACAAGGTCCCGGGCGATCCTGGGACTGCGGGAGATGGGTGTGATCACCGCGGACCGGGCAGAGACCAGCCCCGGGCGTGGGGTGCACGGGAGGGGAGGGAAGGGGCAGGGCCCAGAGGTCCGGCCAGGGGGACAGCGGTGCTCGTCACCTGCTTCTGGAGGCCGGAGAGCTGGAAGCTGAGGGACTCCAGGCGCATGCGGGCCTCCTTGAGCTCCTCGCGGGCCGCGCTGGCCGCCTTGTCGTTCTGGTCGGAGCTCAGCTTGGCGCTGTCCAGCTGCGGTGACACGGGCGGGTGAGGGCGCGCGCGGGGCGGGGGTCCCCCCGGCCGCGCCGCCCGCCGGCCGCACCTTGGCCTGGTAGGTCTGCTCCAGCTCCAGCTTGTAGAGCCGCACTTGCTCGTCGTGCTGGCTCCGCAGCTCCTCCAGCGCCTGCGCCATCTTGAAGTCGTACTCCTGCTGCCGGCTGCTGTCCACCTCCACCAGGCGCCGCTCGTGCCGCCGCCGCGTCTCGCGAACCTCCTGCGGACCAGCCTCCGTGACCCTCCGACCCGCCGGGCCCCGAGCCCCAGGCCCAAGGGAGGGCTCCGAAATGTGCCAAGAGGCACCTCCAGCCAATTCCTGGTTCCCTGTGCACGAGTTCGGAGCCGACGCACGTGCAGGGGAGGGGCGACCCCGGGGCCTTCCACGCACTAGAGCGTCGCTCAGCCACGGAAAGGGGCAGGGCTGTGGCACTGGCCTCAGCGTGGATGCACCTTGAGGACGTCGCGCTCAGTGACAAACGCCACGCACAAAAGGCCGCAGAAGGCGTGACCCCATTCCCACAGAAATGTCCAGGACGGGCCCAGCCAGAGGCGAGACGGGGACGCATGGGTGCCGGGGCTGGGGGGATGATGGAGATGGGGTTGTTTTTGGGTAATGCAATGTTCTAGCATTAGAGGTGGTGGGCGCACAACCCTGTGGAGGTCCTACCAATGCTGAACTGAACACTTCACAAAGGTGGACTTAAAATAGCTGGGCAGGGGGCACGGGTGAGGTGGCTCATGCCTGTAATCCCAGCACTCTGGGAGGCCGACGCAGGTGGATCACCTGAGGTCAGGCGTTCAAGACTAGCCTGACCAATATGGTGAAACTCCATCTTAATTTAAAAAACAAACAAACAAAAAAAAGCTGGGCATGGTGGTGGGCGCCAGTAGTCCCAGCTACTCAGGAGGCTGAGACAAGAGAATCGCTTGAACCCAGGAGGTTGCAATGAGCCAAGATCACACCACTGCACTTCAACCTGGACAAAAGAATGAGACTCCAAAAAGAAAACACCAAAAACAGTGAACTCTTTCATCAAAGCCATTATTTAAGAAAGCGGACCGGGCGCAGTGGCTCATGCCTGTAATCCCAGCACTTTGGGAGTCCAAGGCGGGCTGATCACCTGAGGTCGGAGTTTAAGACCAGCCTGGCCAACGTTGCAAAACCCCATTTCTACTGAAAATACAAAAATTAGGCTGGAAACAGTGGCTCACACCTATAATCCCAGCACTTTGGGAGGCCGAGGCGGGTGGATCATGAGGTCAAGAAATCGAGACCATCCTGGTCAACATGGTGAAACCCCATCTCTTCTAAAAATACAAAAAAATTAGCTGGGCACGGTGGCGCGTGCCTGTAATCCCAGCTACTCGGGAGGCTGAGGCAGGAGAATTGCCTGAACCCAGGAGGCGGAGGTTGTGGTGAGCCGAGATCGCGCCATTGTACTCCAGCCTGGGTGACAAGAACAAAACTCCGTCTCAAAAAAAAAAAAAAAAAAAAAAAAAATGAGCGGGGTGTGGTGGCTCACACCTGTAATCCCAGCCACTTGGGAGGCTGAGGCAGGAGAACCGTTGGACCCCGGGAGGTGGAGGTTGCAGGGAGCCGAGATCACGCCGCTGCACTCCAGCCAGGGCAACAGAGCAAGACTCCATCTCAAAAAACGAAAACAAACCAGCAGAAACGCTCTGAAGGAAGCAGGCCACCTTGGCAGTAAGTGAGGCGGGTGGCCTGGTGGAGCTCTGCGAGCCACGCACCCACCTTCACGGCCACCCTCTCGGGGTTCCCCATCCTGTGGGCTGCACGGGCCTGAGCCAGGTTCCCCATAGCAGCTCCCTCTGAGAGCCCCTCAGCGGTGACTTCCGGGGCCCCACACAACCTTTGTTGGTCTCTTCACAGGTCCCCTCGTGGGTTCCACCAGGGGTGTGTTCCTGGACCCCCGCACAGCCCTGCTGAGTCTCTTCATGGGCTCTCTCACAGGGTCCCCCACAGGGCCCCTCACAATGGCCCCGGCAGCCTCCCCTGTGGCTCCCATGGGGGCCCCCAAGCTGTCTAGGCCTGGCTGTAGCAGGGCGTGAGTCCCAGGCTGCCCCAACATCCCTCCGCCAGCAGTTCTCCCTGGGGAGTGAGTGTGGGCCTGGCCAGCCCCAGCATTCCACCCTGCACTGTGACATCACAGCGGATCCTGAGGGACATGGTGACGGCCCCTCCAAGCCTTTGTGAGGCTCCAAATGAGGGGCTCTGCAGGTCGGGTAAGGAGGCTGGGTGGGGAGTGCAGGCCTCACCCCTGCTTTGGACAGGGAGGCCTGCAGGAGGCTGCACAGTGGCCCCCAGAAGATGCTCCTGACCCCTGCCCCAGGGTCTAGCGGTTAGGACCCAGGCCACAGCTCAGCTCCCACGGTGCGAATGCCAAGCTTTAAGAAAGGCAAGAAATCAATGTAGACCTTCCTTGACACATAAGAGATGTCTTGTGACCGGCGGGGTGGCTCAGGCCTGTGATCCCAGCACTTTGGGAGGCCGAGGCGGGTGGATCACGAGGTCAAGAGATCGAGACCATCCTGGTCAACACGGTGAAACCCCGTCTCTACTAAAAATACAAAAAAAATTAGCTGGACATGGTGGCACGTGCCTGTAATCCCAGCTACTCAGGAGGCTGAGGGGCAGGAGAATTGCCTGAACCCAGGAGGCAGAGGTTGCGGTGAGCTGAGATCGCGCCATTGCACTCCAGCCTGGGTAACAAGAGCGAGACCCCGTCTCAAAAAAAAAAAAAACCTGGGCGCAGTGGCTCACGCCTGTGATCCCAGCACTTTGGGAGGCTAAGGCAGGTGGATCACATGAGGTCAGAAGTTAGAGAGCAGCCTGGCCAACATAGTGAAATCCTGTCTCTACTGAAAATACAAAAATTCCCTGGGCATGGTGGTGCGTGGCTGTAAACCCGGCTACTTGGGAGGGTGAGGCAGGAGAATGGCTTGAACCCGTAGGTGGAGGTTGCGGTGAGCCGAGATCGCACCTTTGTGCTCCAACACGGGCAACAGAGTGAGACTCTGTCTTAAAAAACAAAAAAAAAGATGTGCCCACGTCCCGATGCCCAGCAGCTGCGAATGCCCCTTATTTGCAAATGGGGTCTCTGCAGTGTCATTAGGTCACTCTGGATGATTCCAGTGACACGTGTCCTTGTCAGATACATAGAGCATGGGCGCCGAGAGGAGGGAGCTTCGGGAAGATGGAGGCCGCCCTGGGTGTAGGAGGAGCTTCCCTGGAGCCGCGGGAGGGCCCCAGCCTGTCCTCTAGGTGCCCTCGGACTTGCGCCCTCCACAGCCGTGAGGGTGGATCCTGTTTTCGGGCCTCTGCTCACCTCCTCGAACACGCTCTTCCGGAAGTCCAGCTCCTCCTGCAGGCTCTGGCAGCGGTTCTCCAGGTCCACGCGCATCAGCGTCTCCTTCTCCAGCTGCTTTTTGGCCACTGTATGACCGTCCTCGGCCTGGGAGGCACAGGACAGCGTGCCGGCGTGAAAATGTGCTGCCTGGGCCCTGCGGGGGCATCCCACGGCCCCTACCACCTACCTTGGCAAGCTGGGCCCGCAGCTCAGCCACGTCACTCTCCAGGCCGCGCTTGTCGCTGAGGGCAGCTGCTAGCTCCGCCTCGCTCCGGTGGAACAGGGACTCCAGGTCCTTCACTCGGCCTTGGGCCACCGTGAGCTCGCCCTCCCTCTTCTTGGCGCTAAAAGTCAAGAGGGCAAGTTATCGGGGAGGGGCAAGGCCCACCGGGCCATAGGGAGCACCCTAGGGGGAGTCATGTGAGCCCAAGGACAAGGTCACCAGGGCCTCTGAGCCCTGGACCTTCCCGTCCCACAGACGACGCAGCCCCGGGCGTCCAGACAAAGCCACTTGTGCCCTCCTCATCTGCCCTGCACTGTCTGGAGTCCAGCAAGTGACAGACACCAGCGCTTGGGACCCCCCGGAGCCGTGGGCTTTCCCAGCCTCTCCTACCCCTTCTGCAATCCGGAGGACCGTCTGAGGAGAAATTAACGCATCCTCTACGAACTTACAAAGGAAGACCCTGGCCTTTGAAGAGTCAGCCTTGTTTGTAAACTTAAGCTGTCTGAGGCAGGCTCACCTGCCAACAGGAGCTAATTAAGACGGCAAATACTCAGCCTTTTTAAACACACAAATACTGCCAGTGTGATTCTAGGCACTTAAGCATTTTTTTTTTAAGAGTCAGGGGTTCACGTGTTTGCCCAGGCTGCTCCGAGCAATCCTCCTGTGTTAGCCTCCCCAAGTGCTGGGGTTACAGGTGTGAGCCATCAAGCCAGGTGACTCTTAGACGTTTTTAAGCAGAATTCTAAGTCTTTTTTTGTTTTGAGACGGAGTTTCGCTCTGTAGGTAGGCTGGAGTGCAATGGCACAATCTTAACTCACTGCAACCTCCGCCTCCTGGGTTCAGGCGATTCTCCTGCCCCAGCCTCCGGAGTAGCTGGGATTACAGGCACGCACCACCATGCCCAGGTAATTTTTGTGTTTTCAGTAGAGACAGGGTTTCACCATGTTGGCCAGGATGGTCTCCATCTCTTGATCTCGTGATCCACCCGCCTCAGCCTCCCAAAGTGCTGGGATGACAGGTGTGAGCCCCCGTGCCCAGCCCACATAATTCTAAGTCTTGGAGCTGAATTTTGCCCCCTGCCACCAGGGAACTAACTTTATCCCCCCGAGCAACGGTGAGGACACCCAGTGTCTCGGCGTCACAACTGCTGACATTCGGGGCCATCCTGGGCACTGCAGGTGCTGAGCACTGTCCTTGGCCTCCACTCACTGCAGACCAGGAGCCCCTTGCTGCCCAGTTCTGACAACCATAAATGTCCCCAGAAATCATCCAGTGTCCCCTGGGGACAGAATCGTCCCAGGATGAGGACAACTGGGTGTATCAGGAACACAGCAAAGGTTGCTGCCTGGGCACTAAAAGAACCCCACATCCAGGAGGCTCGAGCCCAAGCAGAGCTAAGATGTGAAAGAGATCTCTCCTGCCTGGCAGAATGCGCTTCCTCCATTCCCCAGCGCCTTTCAGAAGAACATCTAGGCATTTGCCCACAAACTGAAAGTGACCCACAACTGTTCCCCTCTGTCCGTCTGTCTAAGTGTATCTCTATCGATAACTATCTGTCTACATAATCTATGTCCCTATATATCAACCTACAGATAGCTGTATCTACTGCCCTGTCACTGTCTATCCATCTATCTATAATCCATCATCCGTCTACTCATCCATCCATCCATCATCCCTCCATTCAACTATCCACCCATAATCTCCATCCATCATCCATCCATCTACTCATCCATCCATCATCTCCATCCATCCATCTATCCATCATCCATCCATCCATCATCCCTCCATTCAACTATCCACCTATAATCTCCATCATCCATCCATCTTCCATCTACTCATCCATTCATCATCTCCATCCATCATCCCTCCATTCAACTATCCACCCATAATCTCCATCCATCATCCATCTACTCATCCATCTATCCATCATCCATCCATCCATCATCCCTCCATTCAACTATCCACCTATAATCTCCATCATCCATCCATCTTCCATCTACTCATCCATTCATCATCTCCATCCATCATCCCTCCATTCAACTATCTACCTATAATCTCCATCCATCATCCATCTACTCATCCATTCATCATCTCCATCCATCATCCCTCCATTCAACTATCCACCCATAATCTCCATCCATCATCCATCTATCCATCCATCCATCATCCATCCATCCACCATCCATCCATCCACCATCCATCCATCCATCCATCCACCCAACATCCATCCATCCATCAATCCAACATCCATCCATCCATCATCCCTCCATTCAACTATCCACCCATAATCTCCATCCATCATCCATCCATCCATCCATCCATCATCCATCCATCATCCAACCATCCATCCATCCATCCATCATGCATCCATCCACCATCCATCCATCCATCCATCATGCATCCATCCACCATCCATCCATCCATCAATCCAACATCCATCCATCATCCCTCCATTCAACTATCCACCCATAATCTCCATCCATCCATCCACCCGTCATCCATCCATCATCCAACCATCCATCCATCATGCATCCATCCACCATCCATCCATCATCCCTCCATTCAACTATCCACCCATAATCTCCATCCATCCATCATCCATCATCCATCCATCCATCATCCATCCATCTATCATGCATCCATCCACCATCCATCCATCATCCATCCATCCACCCGTCATCCATCCATCATCCATCATGCATCCATCCACCATCCATCCATCCATCCACCATCCATCCATCATCCATCCATCCATCCATCATCCACCCACCCACCCACCCACCCACCCATCATCTATGCATCATCGACCCATCTCTCTCTCCTGCTAGCTGCCAAGCTGTTACTCTCTGTGGGACTCTCCTTCCTTGCTTGTGTGACCCGGAGAGGGAGGACTGCCCTCCCAGCTCACGGTGCCCTCCCTGCCTGGGATCTGTAATAAATCTTCAAACTGGTTTCCTATCACAGTGCTGAATTGGCCTTCTGTGTCAGAAGGACCAGGAGCTGCCTCAGGCAGGGCTCCCAGTGCCGGAGCAATGGTCAGGCAGGCATATGCCAGACACGGCTCAGACGCGAGCCCCACGACAGATGCTGCGTGAACACGTTTCTCGGGTGAGGGGTCCCTGGTGGGGGTATAAGGCACCTGCAGGGTGAAAGCAACCATGCCAGGTGCACTGAACCCAGGTCTGGTTCCTGTTGCGTCCTACCAGGGCAGGGCTGCCAGCCCCTCTGGCCCTGGACCTGGTGTAGCTGGGGCTCTCCATACACTGGAGGTGTGGCATCTGCTTGCTCTTGAGTGGCATGGAGACCAGAAACTTCAGCCACAAAGTTGACGTGTCCCCATCAGCAGCCCTTAGAGACACTAAGCTCTACTTCCAGGCATGGAGCGCATCTCCAGCAGGGTCTAGGGTGGAGTCCCCGCATCTCTGAGCTCATGCCACACAGGCCTGATCCTTCTGCTCAGACGGCTGCGAGCCCCTCGGCCCTGCAGGGGATCTTTCCAGGGGTTTGGGGGAAGCTGGAATCTGTGGGGCAGATCCTGGCTGAGTGCCCGCTGCGTGGAAGGCACAGTTCTCACATCAGAGGTGCATCTAGAAGCCTGGCCTCGCCATGCAGGATGTCCTTGTGGGGGGGGCTGCCTGCGGGCAGGGCCGGAGGGGTTGGACAGGCAACCCTGAGGCCAGAGACCTGAAGGTGCAGCGCTGGAGAAGGAGCCAGGCCCACCACAGCTGAAAGGGCCTTCCAGGCAGGAGAACAGCAGTGCAAAGGCCCAGGGGTGAGGAGGAATAGGCAGGCTGCAGGCCAGCCCAGAGGACTGGAGCGGAGATCGGGGAAGCTGGGCAGCTCCTCAGCAACTCAGTCTGAACCACAGGGCTCCGCAGGACTGCAGGGCAGGCCCAGAAGGCAGGGTGCTGGCTCACAGGGCTCACAGCCATTTTCTGAGAGCCTCAGGTGCTGAGTCCCACTCCCTAGCTGTGCAGCCGGGGTTTCGTGGCAGGCTCTGGCTTGTAAGGTCCTGCACGCTGCTCCCATGTTTCTCTTATCATTGGGTCTTGGAGATAAATTTGCTAAAAAAAGAGAAACATTAGGCTGGGCGCAGTGGCTCACGCCAGTAATCCCAGCACTTCAGGAGGCCGAGGCGGGTGGATCACTTAAGCCCCGGAGTTTGAGACCTGCCTGGCCAACACGGTAACAAAATTAGCCGGGCAAGGTGGCACAGGCCTGTAATCCCAGCAACTCAGGAGGCTGAGGCGGGAGAATCGCTTGATTCAGGAGGTGGAGGCTGCAGTGAACCGAGATCACACCATTGCAGTCCAGCCTGGGCGACAGAGCAAGATTGTCTCAGAAATAAATAAATAAAAAGTTAAAAAATTAGCTGGGTGTAGGGTGTGTGTCTGTGGTCCCAGCTAGTCAGGGCAGGGCTGAAGCAGGAGGATCACCTGAGCCTGGGGGTTCGAGGCTTCCGGGAGCTATGACGGTGCCACTGAAGTCTAGCCCGGGCAACAGAGGCCGTTTCTCAAAGAAAAGGGAAAGACAGGCCTCGCTGTAGATGCCACGCACTGCTCAGGAGGTCCTGAACTGGGAATTCCTCAACACCTAGGGCAGGCACTATGGAACGTTTTCTTTTTTTAACGTTTTAATTCGAGGTGAAATTCACATCATGTAAATTTCAAAGTTGTAGAGGGAACGGTCCAGAGGCGCCGGGTACAGGGCCCACAGCAGCTCTGTTCCGTCTGCACAGTGCAGTTCCGACTTCACGGAAGCTCTGTACACGCTCTAATCCTGCCAGGACCTGCTCGGCTCCACAGAGGAAGCTGCTTATTAAGCACGGTGAGCCCTGGGGGCAGACGGCCCAGAGCCACGGCCCACGCAGGACCGCCGTGCACCTGTGCGGTGTGGGATGTGCTGAGAAGGCAGCCTGTCCCTGCTTGTGCCTGGTCCCAGGGTCCCCAGCTCATGGCCACCATCGGGGCACAAATGGTCCCTCCAGGAGCGCTGGGCCCCGGGAGGTGGGCAGTGGTGCCTGGGCCGGCCTGGAGGGCCTCCTGTTGAAGGGAAGCCAGCTCTCTCCATGGGCACAGTGCCAGCCTAGGCAGGAAGGTGTCAGAGGGAAAGCTCCCCAGCCACCGTACATGCTGGCCCCGACACTGCTGGATACGGGGTCCCTGTGGCCACACTCCAACTCAGGGACAACATGGATTCTCAAGCCACTGGCTGCTGTCACCTCCGTACCAGGTGGCCGAGGTGCCACCCCTCCTACTGGCGGGTCTCTCCAGGCTGAGCCAGGCCTGGGGTGCAGGTGTGCGTGGCTCGGGAAGACCCTGGCCCATCCCTGGCCTGAGGAACTCTGGCGGCCGGAGACCGCGGAAGACAGTGTCCACACGCGGGAACCGGAGACCTCATGCCAGCTTGAGCTCGGTGTTTCGCTGGCCTCCCGGTGCCTCTGAATAAATACTCTGTCTACCATCATCGCTCTTTTTAAACTGCTGCCCACGACACCACGCCAGGAATCAGGCGAGACTTGGTGCAAGGCAGATGGGGGCAGTTGGTATCAGATGGTGACACCCGATGGGCAGCCATCACCCAGAGGCACTCTGCAGCCAACCACAGCGCAGCCCAACAACCCATGACCACCCTGGTCACACACCATGCCAGAGCGTCCCGGAAGCTGGAACAAAACCCCGGCACGAGGAGCAGCTGACCTCAGGGAAACGCCCACAACGGGCCGGAGGTGGGAGCGTCTCACTGCTGTGCTCGGGTGTGGCCCGTGGTCTAGACGTGAGGGAGCAGGCGCAGGTGCAGGTGAGGGAGGCAGGCCAGGCTGCCTGGGCAACCCTCTCTGGGAGGCTGGCGGGAGATTTTGCTTTTCAGCCTAAGCTGCCCTGCGTCTCCCGCTGTCCCACGTAAGCATCTGTGACTTTCCTCAGCACAGAAAAGTGACGTGGCAGCCACTGGTGGGGACAGAGGACGGGAGCTGTGAGCCCCAGGCTGTGCCCTATCAGGGGGCACCTCGCACGAGCCCCAGCACCCACCCTCCCCTGTAGGTGGTGCAAGGATCAGGGTGACATCGTGCCCAGCCACGGACACTCACCTCTTGCTGACCTCGTCCAGCTCTGCCCTCAGCTTCCCTATCTCTATCTGCAGCCGGGCGCGCTCTCGAGCTGTCTCATCCAGGACTCTGCGGGCGTCAGCCAGCTCCGACTCGTACAGCGCCTTGATGCCACTCACCTGGGAAGACACGGCCAGGGTGAAGTGAGGACACAAGCTTCCCCTTGGACTGAGGCAGCCTGGGGGCCTGGCCACCGGCCCCACTCAGATTCCCGGGGACTGGCACGCAGACCAAGAGGATGACAGCTGGGGACACCGGGACAGCCTGTGCTGCTCGCCTCACAGACACAGCAGAGGGAGCCCCTGTCGGGGAGGGGCAGGCCCGAGCCATCCCAGGAGCCCTCTCCTCTGCCACGGCCCCTCCGGAACGATCGTCTCCCACAAGCTCCAGCTCCTGGCACAGCAGCGCCCAGTGCTGGAGACCAAAGGCCATGGGTTCAGCCAGAACCTGGAGCAGCACAGCAGCTGGATGGAGCCTGTCCCCTTCCCCGGAGGACCCGCCACACCCGGACATGCAGCCCCATAGCTGCTGTCATAGCGACACGGTGCCTGGCAATTATTTAAACAATTCACACTTCTAGTTTTGGAACCAGAAAACTGGTGGAGACGTTTCATTGAGGATCTCTCCCGCAGGGCAGCGTGGACGTCGGGTGATCATCCTCGGATGACTGCTGATGACAACAAACCGGGGACCCTCCCAGACCACACTGGACCCGAAACCCGTCTACCTCTGCAACCCAGCAGCCCTTCCCAGACTCCACTGGGCCCCTGAGACCACCCCAGTGCCTCTGTAACCTAGTGCCCCCCTCCCTGAGACCCTCTCCCAGCCTCTGGAACTCAGGGTCCCCTTCCCAGATCCCACAGGGCCTGAGATCCACCCCCACCAGCCTCTGCAACCTGGGGCCCCCTCCCAGACCCTGCTGGGCCCAAGATCCCCCACTTCTGCAAACTGGGGCCAGCCTGTGCCCCGATCCCACACACAGGCCCATGGCCCACAAGCAGGCTGGGCTACGCCCCGGGATGGAGGGTGGGGCGGCTGGCCTCCCCTGCTGTGTACCCCCCACAGGCCAGCTGCCAATGTGGCAGCTCAGAGGTTCCAGGACAGAAGCTCCCACCCCTCGCTCACAGGGGTCTGAGGTTGGAGTCCCCAGCTCCCCACCCCACCAGCTGTAGCCCCCTTTCCCCAGGGAGACCCAGGCCAGCCAGCAAGGATGTGGGGAGGGGCTAGAGAGCCAGGGGTCGCCAGGGCGGGCAGAAGCCACCGGCACACCCTCTGGGCCGCCTGTCTGAAGAAAGCCCCTCCCTGACCCTCACACAAAGCCCAGCTGGTACTGACAGCCAGGCCCCTAAACCTGCCCTCCTGAGGGCCTCCGGGCGAACTGGAGGCACACGCAGTGCCTGGGAAAGCGACCTCTCCCATCCCTACTAATCCTGCTGTAACCGCAGCCGCCCCCTGCCCGGCCTCGGCACGCGCCAGCTGGGGGCACAGCTCAGGCTTCGTGTGGCCTTCCTGCCTCCCCTCCTCCCACAGGGCGATGCACTTAATGAGTTTAAAAATATGTGGGAGCAAACCGCAGCGAGATGCCGCTTCATACCCACTAACTAGGGCGTCCATCAGGAAGACAGACAGCCGCAGGTGCGGGCGAGGACGCAGAGAAATCGGAAGCTCACGGGCAGCGGCGGGCACCTGAGCAGAGGCAGCCCTACAGAAAACAGCCCAGGAGCTCCCCAAAGAGCCACAGAGCCGGCCCAGGACCCGTAAGTCCACTCTTAGGTGTGGACCCAGGAGAAATGAAACTCACATCCGTACCTGTTTGGAAACTACACACAGATGTCCACGGCACCATCATCCCTAACAGCCGACGTGTGCCAGCGCCCGAGTGCCCGTCAGAGTGAACAGAAAAAAGCAGTGCACGGGGCTGGGCGCGGGGGCTCACACCTGTCATCCCAGCACTTTGGGAGGCCGAGGCAGGCAGATCACGTGAGGTCAGGAGTTCGAGACCAGCCTGGCCAACATAGAGAAACCCCGTCTCTACTAAAAATATAAAAATTAGCTGGGCACGGTGGCGCGCGCCTGTAATCCCAGCTACTCGGGAGGCTGAGGCAGGAGAATTGCCTGAACCCAGGAGGCGGAGGTTGCGGTGAGCCGAGAGAGATTGGGCCGTTGCACTCCAGCCTGGGCAACAGAGCAAGACTCCACCTCAAAAAAAATAAAAAGACTCTAGTCCCGTATTCTTACTGCACCTTTTCTGTGTTTGTTTATTTGTTTTGAAACGGAGCTTCACCAAGGTTGGAGTGCGGTGCCGCGATCGCGGCTCACTGCAGCTTCAAACCCTGGGCTCAAGCAATCCTCCTGCCTTGAACCCCGGAGGCGGAGGAGGCGGTAGGCCAAGATTGGGCCGCCGCGTTCCAGCCTGGCGACAGAGCACCTCGGCCTGGGAGTGCAAGGCTGCCGTGAGCTACGGGTGCACCACTGCACTCCAGCCTGGGGCAACAAAGCGGGACCCCGTCTCAGTCTCCCCAGCAGCTGAAACTGTGATACAGCTGGCCCAGAATGAGAACCAGTGCAGTGCCATTTTAAAATGGGAAAACTGTTTCCATTCTCCTCACAATGACTGCTAGCCACGGCTTCTGTAAACTACTAAGATTACCTTGCAAAATGCAGAGAGAGGACAAGCTGCACACTTTCTCTTATATGTAACTGCCAGAATTGCTGGCCTTTGTTTACCAAAGTAAGCACCCCCAGATAATTCCATCCTGGCGCCAAGTAACCTAAAATTATGTGGACCCCACACCTGTCCAAATAATGTATAAACTAATGTTTACCTTGACCTCTGTAAACCACTTAGGTGGCAATCGGAATGACAAAAGTCCCCTGGCCCTTGGAATATCTGGAGCCCCCTCACCCTCGTCTCAACCTAGGAGGTGATTGACAGCTTTCATTCCCATCTCCGCTCCTCACCCCCACTCCCAAGGTGGTTTTGTGGGTATAAAAAGGTCTTGTCACTCTTCTTTCTCTGCCACGGGTTGGAGACGTGAGTCCTCCGTGGTCGCCGGCAATAAACCCTGCAATGTGGCATCCTTTTGTTCTGGTGTTGACTTTCTGTGCTCAGTTCAATGCAGCAAAACCACAGGCACATGTGCCACCATGCCCACCTAATTACTACCTTATTTATGTTTTGAGACAGCCTTGCTCTGTTACCCGGGCTGGAGCGCAGTGGTGCGATCTCGGCTCACCACAACCTCCGCCTCCCGGGTTCAAGCGATTCTCCTGGCTCAGCCTCCCGAGTAGCTGGGACTACAGGTGGTCACCACCATGCCAGGCTAATTTTTTGTATTTTTAGTAGAGATGACGTTTCAACATGTTAGCCAGGATGGTCTGGATCTCCTGACCTCAGGTGATCCGCCCTCCTCGGCCTCCCAAACTGCTGGGAGTACAGGCGTGAGCCACCGCACACAGCAAATTAATTTTTTTAATTAGCTGGGTACAATGGCTCACGCCTGTACTCCCAGCTACTCAGGAGGCCAAATGGGGAGAATCACTTCAGCCTAAGACTTTGAGGTGAGTTATAACTGCACCACTGCACTCCAGCCTGGGGTTACAAAGTGATTCCCGGTCTCAAAAATAAAATAAAATTTGGCTGGGCGCGGTGGCTCACGCCTGTACTCCCAGCAATTTGGGAGGCCGAGGCGGGCGGATCACCTGAGGTCAGGAGATCGAGACCATCCTGGCTAACATGTTGAAACGTCATCTCTACTAAAATTACAAAAAATTAGCCTGGCATGGTGGTGACCACCTGTAGTCCCAGCTACTCGGGAGGCTGAGGCATGAGAATCGCTTGAACCCGGGAGGCAGAGGTTGCAATGAGCTGAGATCAGGCTACTGCACTCCAGCCTGGGCAACAGAGCGAGACTCTGTCTCCAAAAAGAACGGAAAAAAAGGAGAAAAAAAACAGAAAACGCACAAGTGTGTGCACACACATACACCACATTTTAGAAACGAAAAGTGAGGCCAGGTGCGGTGGCTCACGCCTGTAATCCCAGCACTTTGGAGGCCGACGCGGGCGGATCACCTGAGGTCGGGAGTTCAAGACCAGCCTGACCAACATGGTGAAACCCTGTCTTTTTAAAAAAAATTTAATTAAAAAAAAAAGTGAATATAACTACAAGTATAGCAGAAATGTAAAATATGGAATATTGGGTGCGTGCCGTGGCTCATGCCCATAATCCCGGCACTTTGGGGGGCCAAGGCAGATGGACCGGTTGAGGTCAGGAGCTCAAGACCAGTCTGGCCAACGTGACAAAACGCCATCTCTACTAAAAACACAAAAATTAGCTGAGCGTGGTTGCACGCGCCTGGGATTCCAGCTACCTGGAAAGCCGAGGCATGAGAATCACTTGAACCCAGGAGGCAGAGGTTGCAGTGAACCAAGATCACTCCACTGCACTCCAGCCTGGGTCACAGAGTGAGGCGCTCTCTCTAAAATGGTAACAGTAATAATATAAAGTACGAAACATTGTAGAAGTATTATTTAATTAAATGAAATGAAATGGAGAATATATTTGGAAACTTAGGTTAAATACACAGTTTCTTTTTTTTCTTACCAAAAAGCAGAAAGAAACCAAGATTTTCATCAGTGCACGCGGTGGCTCACGCCTGTAATCTATTTCAGCACCTCGGGAGGCTGAGGAGGGCAGATCACCTGAGGTCAGGAGTTCGAGACCAGCCTGGCCAACATGGTAAAAGCTGATCTCTACCAAAAATATAAAAACCGCACCATTGCTCTCCAGCCTGGACGAGCACAGTGTGAGACTGTCTCAAAAAAAAAAAAAAAATTAAAGATTTTATGTTTTGCTTAAAATTTTTTTTCTGAGACAGGATTTCACTGTTGCCTGATAAACCCTCCCACATGGGCCACGCACAGGGGCTCAGACCTGTGACCCCAACCCTTTGGGAGGCCAAGGGGGGAGGATGACTTGAGCCCAGGAGTTCAAAAACAACCTGGGCAAGAAAACGAGACCCTGTTTCTACAAGGAAGAAAAGAATTAGCCAGGCACAGTGGAGCGTGCCTGTATTCGCAGCTACTCCCGAGGCCGAGCTGGGAGGATCCCTTGAGCCC